GGGATCTAGGTGGCTGGCCAGGACGGTCCACATTAGGATATGCTCCCACCCCCCGAGGTGCCCTGGGGCTCCAGTGAGTCTCATTCTCAGGAGAGCCCCATGTGGACACAGGCACTGGGGATGCCTCAGATGAAGAATGGGGGTGCAGGATGTGGAAGAAGCGAATTCATTTCCAGGAAGTAAAGTAACGCTCCAGTTGAATTGTGGGGATGCTGTGAAATAAGGTCCTTTAGCTATAGAGCAAGTCAAAGCTTAAAATCTGGGCTGAAAACCAGCACTTGGCCATCTCCTGGCCCAATCCCTGCCTAGCCTGTAAATTAGTGCATTTAACAGCTTGAATCGTGGCCGTGAGCTTCTGCTGGAAGTGGCTGAGTGACCAGTGACTTTCAGATGTGCCAAATGTGCCAGGTCTCAGGACATGGTCAGCGTGTCCCACACTCTGGAATGGTCACAAGGCCTCAAGCCAGAGGTCACTTCTGCCCCTCGCACAGATGTCTCACTAGATGCTGAAAGCATCATCTTGCATCTTCTACTCAATCTCTACTGACCGCATTAGTAATGTCCGTACACAGCCCATCAGCCAGTTCTCCCCCTTGACCTCATTTCTGGGCAGCTGGAGTCCCAAGACCCACTTGCCCTCATTCCCTTTCAGCACTAGGTCAAGCCTTGGTGACCTGCCACGGCTGCTCTAGGTTCCTATCCCACCACCACAGAATGGCTGAGGAGCAGAGGGCTCTCAAGGATGCCTCACCCCTAACGAGCCTGGGGACTTACTGGTGCTGTCATTGGAGGGACTAGAGTAGTAGTCAGCCTGGAACCCTCTCTTGGTGATGCTGCCATCGCTGACGAATCGAATGGACATGAAGTTGGACGACGAAGTGTAGGAGGCCCTGTCCCCGTGACAGAGCCGGGCTATCAGAGGAGAGCTGTGGCAGGGTCCATCGAACACTTCGATGTAATCATAGTTGCAATTCCCCTCGAGCCTGCAGAGAAGGAACGCATGGTTTTGGCCTCACATCCTGCCAGGACTGAAGGCAGGAGATCAGGCCTTAGAGGGGGCCCCACCTCTGACAAAACTTAATAATTAAAAATAATAGATTTTCTTAAATCAAGCAGAGACTCCTCTTCCATGGCCTGCATACAGGGGCCTTCGTCCTTCCTGCCTTTTGGGGCCACACATTTGACATGCACAAACCCTCTCCCCACAGGCCTTTGCATTGTGACAGGAAAGACTCCTGTCCTGCCTTAGACTTTTTCTTCGATCAGAAAGAGCCTAGTTTCCCCTAGAATGAAATAAATATCCATGAATTCGGGGCGATGGAAATAAGTTATTGAATAAGTAAATATTGGACAAGTTGAATAACCTCTCTGAAGGTTGGGTTCTACTTACAAAGGTGAAATAATCCTATCCATGCACAGAGCTTCTGTGAGACTCAAATGAACTAACACATGGAAAAATGCTCCACAAAATAAATGCTGGTGGCCGTTGCTATTCAGATGCCTGGCTAGAGAGCCAGTCCTGGGCAACCTTCCTCCACTGGGTCTTATGAGCTTTAACTTGAGTCCCCAAAATCCAACATGAATTGTAATTATAAGGTGATTGAAATCATGTATCTTCTGCAAGACCTTACATGAATTTCCAAGGCAGAGACCTCCCCCACCCCAAGGCCACAGCAAATCAGAAATCGAGAGAGAAAAGTATTTTGCTCAGTGGTGGCTCTTAGGGAAGAAGTTATGGTACTTTCTCTCCAGGACACTGGAAAACACTGGCGCCCCTTGCATGGCCACACCCCTCACCCCACGCCGGACCAATCACGTGTTGATGTGCTTTGATGATGTCTCCTCTGCTTAAAACAATGACTTTTCCACTTCTGCCTGAGCCCTGGAACTCATCCCCCAATAAAAGAAGGAGCAGAGAGAAAAGTTCAAAACAGCTGGTGTGGTTGTTAATCGGGTCCTTTGCACTATTATCACTCCTAATGGAGTCCCTCCCCCGGATAACATCTTCCAAGTGTCTTCTTACATGTATTTCTTGTGACATTCCCAATAACCAGTGATTGGGAAGACGGGAACAAGTATTGCATTCCTCTTTTCCAACTGCAACTGGGGAAAGTTAAGGGATTTCCTAGGGTCACACAGCAAATTGGTGATCAAAGTGAGGCTTGAAGCTGTGGCTCCTGTCCGGGCCCCGCTCTCCTGGGCTATCTCCATGGGCAAAAACAGAACCCATAAGAAGGAGACCTCTGCCAAAGTGCTAGGTGCCGTTTGTCCCTCCTGGATGTCTGTGAGGTTCCCCGGGCGCCCCGCACCGCACCCACACACTCACTGCACATCTGTGAAGACAATCGTCACATAGTAGTTGTTCTGGACCTCGATGTCCCACACACACTGGGCGTTGTTCGGGTAGTTCTCAGGATAGAACGGGCTGGAAAGGTGTCCTGATGGCTGGGACAGGAAGCCTCCACAGGAGTAATTGGCTGTCGTCGGGACAAAACAGAAGTGCCGGTGACTCCCAGAGCAAACGACTGCCTGACAGAAACCCGACAGGAGGTGGCCTAGACGTGGCCTGTCCAGCCAGGGCCAGCAGGATGCCCTTCCCGGGCAGCTACTCTGAGGGAAGCCCTCTCCTCATCATTCTCGTCATCTCTCCCAGGGCCACTGCCCCTGAGGGGAAGGGAAAGAGGACTCCTCAGGGAGCCCAGCACTTACCGGTTGGTCTGGAGACGGTGTGGGAAGGAGCTGTTGGCAAAGAGAAAAAATAATGATTACTCTCCTGGCATCCTTGACACACTTGTGGGACACTTGCTTGCTCTGTGCCAGAAATATGCCAACCCTAGGGCCACAGCGAGGTGCTGGCTGCAGGCCACACCCCCAGGGAGCTCGCAGTGTGGAGGGGTAGATGGGGCAGAGCGGATCCTAACACAGTGGGCGGGTGAGAGCCCAGAGCTTTGGCTCCAGACCCATGGGAGCAAATGAGCCTGCTTTTCTGGCAATCCTTGGCTTCATACAGAACTTCCCCAAGCCCCTGGATCAAGTTAAGCCCCCGCTAATATGCCCTTTGCACACTGATCTTTCTCTTTGAAACAACTGTCGCAACTGTAATTATATCATTACTCCTCAATTAAATATGTAATACTGCCTTCTACCTGAGGGAGGAGGTCAGTCTCTCTTTTTCATTATTCTGCAATTTTACAACCCTTCTTGATGGCCATGTGGCCACATACACAGCAAAGATCTTAAAATACTTAACATCATAAGATTTAGTATTTGTTAGTACGTTCTAGATACCACACACTATGTTAACTTGAGTCCAGTAAATCTGTGTCTGTTTTAAAGGGGGAAAAAAAATGAGGCACACCCAGATTTATTTGTAGAAATATTCTTCATCACAGAATCAGTTATAACAATGAAGAAATATAAATTACCAAAATGCCCAGCAACTGGGGACTAGTTAAATAATTTGTGGGCACAGCTGTGCAATGGAATATAATATAGGCATTTAAAATGATGGTGAGAGCAATTTCTTAAGAGCAATAAAAAGCTACTGAACTATAATGATATCATCAGGTAAAATTTGCAGGTAAAACATGATTTATTATCCATTTATATTCTCCCGTCTTCCTTCCAAAGATTTGGCAACACTTCAAGAATTAAAAGCCTTCATTTCTATTCTCTGAAGAGTTCATTACCTCATTTACTTAAAAGAAGGAGACAGAGGTCTCTTTAGTTAAAACCAACGAGATCTAGCCAGCAGGGGCCACGCGAAGGTTGCCTGTGTGCAAGCAAGATGTGACGGAGTGCACCAGGCGGGGGCGGGGGGCAGGCTGAGAGAGGCTGTGCCCTGCAGGCGTCTGCACCAGGGGCAGCCAAGCCTATGCGTGAGGTGGAAGACCTGGCACCTACCCTCGGTGGTCTCCAGGGATGGCTGCCACCAATTTAGAAAGAGAATGAAGTGATTTTAGGATTTGACTGGAAATGTTTAAATCCCATGGCCAGCCATTTAACAGGAGAAGTGAAATCCCTTTCCTCATTGCAGGATGTCTCAGAGCCTTGACCATTCCCCTGCACATGGAATGGCCAAGAAGAGCCACGCAGGAGCACTTCCCAACATCCTTGGCACCAAAGATTTTCGTTATGACACAAAGGCAACTTGGGGGGTTGTGCTCCCAATGTGAAGGAATTCTTTCACAGATGAACGTGTGTAAGGGTTTAACTTGGCCACGTTTCTAAAATGGTCACGATTCTCCATGGGTCCGCTGGGACAGTGATTGGCACCTGGAAGGACCGGAGGACCAAACCTCTCCCACCGCCCCCTCTCCCGATGAGCACAGGTAGCAGGTGACAGTAAGGGTCAGATGGGCTCTCCAGGCTGAGCTCAGTGGCAGCCATGGTCCTGAGGGCTCCGCTGGTCACCATGACCAACCCCAAAATCCTCAGAGAGAAACCACACCCCAGAAGGAGCCCGCTCTCCTCCTCCTGCTTCTGGAAACACAAGAAGGCGGAGGTCTCAGGAGGAAGACTGGGCTGCCGTGACTCACCCGGGGTAGTCAGAAGGCTTTGTGAATCTGCAAGGGAGAGAAGGGAACATGGTCAGCCTCAGTGCCTGGAATGTGCTGGAAGAAGCCCTCGGGACCCTGAGGCAGAGGTGCTGATGCCCGAGGCCTGTACCCTTCACGGTGCTGAGAAACCCTTTTGCAGGCTGCCCAGGAGAGCTGAGTGTTAAGAGGTAAACTTCAGGAATTCGTCGCCCCCAAAACATTTGTTGAGGGAATTTGTGCATTAAACCCTTGTCTGCTCTAGGGGTCCTCCTAGGGAAGATGTTGCAGCCTGCCCATAAAATCAGGGTCACTAGTAGCTATCACCCAACGGGGTCACCAGTGAGGCTATCGGGGAAGCTGCCTGTCTCCCAGGGAAGTCTAGGGGAGCAGCCCAGTGCAGAGAGGAGCGCATGCCAGGAGAGAACCACACTAAAACAGAAGCCCAAGGTCTTGGGGGCCCACCTGAGCAGACGACACTTGCATCCTCATAATGTCCACAGTTGTGTACGTTCCAGCCACTGTGGGGACAATTCCACAGGTGGGACTCATACCCTGAGCAGTGCACGTCGTCCAGGACAATAGGCCCCGAGCCCTGACCAAACAAGGCATTTCCTGGGGCATGCACGGCCCAGCCACAGCCCAGCTGCCTGCACACCACGTTGGCGTCGTTGGTGTCCCAGTCGTCGTCACACACGGTCCCCCAGGAGCCTCGGTAGAGAACCTCCACGCGGCCCAGACACCGGTCACTTCCGTTCACCAGTCTCAGGTCCAAACCAGAATCAGATCCTAGAAGGGGACATGAAGATTCACTCTCTCCTGTGCCTCATGAAGGAAGAGGTTCTAAGGTATGAGTGAGGTTTAGAAGTCTTCCAGGGGCCAAGACTTTGGGTTCTGGTTTTTGTTCTCCAGCATTAGGACTTGACCAAAGCCTGTTCGTCTTCCTCCATCCTCAAGGGGCTGTTTTATAGAACCCTCGGTGTGAGCTGAGATGCACGGTCTCTGCTTGGTTCCCACAGTGCCCAGCAATTCAACGGCTGAGCCCAGCCCTGGGATGCAAGGGGGGAAGAAGAGAAGCCCGAAGTCTGCATCAGCAGTGGCCACTGGGATCAGTCTGAGCACCTGCCGCAGGAAACCACCAGAGACAGCTTCCCAGCCCCCGCCCAAGGAGCAGCCCTAGGACCTCATCTTTGGAGACTCCATCGTCAGCTGACTCATCCTATACAAGAAGACCCCACCTCACTGGGCTTGAGGCTAATTCTGGAGGCTCGTTCTCCGCTGAGCACCCAAAGCTTGCCCTGATGTGTATTGTAGTAGAAAGCCTCCTTCCCATTAAAAAGAAAAAACAACAACCAAAAGCACTCCCTGTGAGGTTCAAGGAAGACCTAGTGCCACATCCTCCCCCTGTCCCCTGGGGAAGGGGAAGGTGGGTGTGCGACCCTACTTGGCCATCAGAGCAAATGAAAATGATTTATGAGAAGGTACCTAGTGCCAAGCAAGCTGCTCAGAGTACTCCTAGCACTTGGCAGTTGAGATACTGGGACAAACAGAGTCTATCTCTTGGTGGGATGCAGACTTGGGGCTGGCGAATGTGTAGCAAGCAAGCTGATAGCAAAGGCCATATACATAAGAAGGTATAGGTAAGAAAAACGCATAGGACAATCTTGGAACTTCTGGATCCAGCTGTCCCTGAAGCTAGATCTACCACTCAGTGTCCTAGATATGTGAGCCGTGGAGTTCTCTCCTAGTTCCAGAGAGTCTGAGCTGGGTTCCTGTCACTTGTAAACCAAAACACCCTGACTAATATATCCCATAATTCTGGTAGGTAGAACGTAGAAGGGCCCCTCCACGAAGGATGAGGTGACGAGTGTGGAAGTGTTTTAACCCAAGATTCGGGCACTTCACCCAGGCCTGTTGACTACAGTGTTGAGCGCTGGGCTTTGGCTGGGTCCAAATGATGCTCACCGTAGACAGGACTCGTGTACCACCAATCTGGAGAGGAAGCAAAGCAGGCTTAGAAAGGAGGGCATAGAGTCAAGGTTGAGCCTAGTGATCTGTGACTGGGCTCAGGGACAGTGGGGGAGGGGGGAGCTCTGTGGCTGGGGGAGAAGGAGGCCTTTTCTGAGAGCTTTCACTGAGCCAAAACCATGACCTTGAATGTCCTTAACAATGCCAATGAGGTATTGGCATTCTTAACATCTCAACGATCTGTAAGAGCAATTACAATGCTTTCCTGACACAGTGCTCTTTGGTGAAAGCATCCTGTTGGCTCTCCCGACAGCCTGCAGCATAAAAGACCTCTGTTCTCTCATTCCATGTAACATTTGGCCCAGACACAGCTTCCAAGCAGAAACGACCCCAGGACAGAGCCTCCTGTGTCACCAGAAGCGGGTAAGCACGATAGCCAGAATGCTCTTAACCCGCTGAGCCAGACTGGCAGATCAATGTGTCATGGGCTCAGCTAGAACCATCTACACACCCTAGAGTGGTCAGAGAAAAGACTGGAATGCAGAGGCCTCCACAGTCCCCTCCTGGAGCTACAGGTGGGGCGTGGCTGAGGTGAGTAGCGAGACAGCAGACAGGCAGCAAGACTCACCTGGTGTGGGTGTAGACTGGGGCCTGGCAGCTGTGAGGGAGAAAGCATCAGGTCAGACACGTGGCATGGAAGGTGGCACAGCTAGAAGCACAGGAGGAAGAAGCTGAGCAGATCAAATGCTCAGGCATATCTCTCCCCCGCCACGGGGCTGGGGTGGGCAGGGGGTGGGGAATTTGCCCTCTGACCCTGAAAGGACACCCCTCATCAGAATCCAGGAAGACCCTGTGAAATTATTTCCAATGTCAGGGTGATTTACTCTGTGTCTAGAAAGAGTGACTGAGTGGACACAAGCAAATTGTCCACCGTGCAGCTTGTAGCAGTTCACCAACGGGGCAAGAGTGAGGAGCCTAGCTCAGGGGCAAATGCCAGGGTCATGTTTCAGGCCTGACCTAGGCAAGTAATTACAAGACCTGACCCTGTCAGGCCGCACAAGAGTTGTGGCTCTTGGCAGAGCACAGCTGGTGTGCAAAGACTGCATTGAAATTCTCTGGAGAGAGTTACAGTCAAGGACTCATAGCACCCAAGTCTACACCAGCCACAGAAGGATCTTGCAAGCCTAACCCACAGGCCCCACTCCCGGACTCCTTCTGACTCCTCCCTCTTGCTGCTGCCTTGCATTTTCCTGGTGGGAACAAAAGAGTTGATTCACACTTTCAGTTTATTTCCAAATTCAGCTTTCAACTCCTGGCACCAAGGCAGACTAACACCAATCGAGGCAGAGAGCTAAGGAAGCTTCAAGGGAAAAAGCAATGTAAAAAGCCTTGGCGGGAAACACAACTTAAGGACAAATTGTTGACAAAACTCCACCCCAAGAAAGGGAGAGTAACAATGTCTGAGGCCCACCTGAGCAGATGACGCCGGTGTCCTCCCCGTGGCCACAGTTGTGCACGTTCCAGCCTCGGTGCGGGCAGTGCCACAGGTAGGACTCACTCCCTGAGCAGCGCACATCGTCCAGGAGAATGGGCCCTGAGCCCTGCCCAAACCTGGCACTTCCTGGAGCTGACCTGGCCCAGCCACAGCCCAGCTGCCTGCACACCACGTTGGCGTCGTTGATGTCCCAGTAGTCGTCACACACGGTCCCCCAGGAGCCTCGGTAGAGAACCTCTACCCGGCCCTGACACCGGTCACCTCCGTTCACCAGTCTCAGGGCCAAAGGCCCTTCAGTCCCGAAGCCTAGAGATGGTAAAAGGACACCTCCTCCATGACTATGAGAAGCTTCCAGGCCTGAGGCACATTCCACACTCTTGGAACACTCTCCCGGTCTAACCACCCAGGGCAAACAGGTACCTTTGGACCCAAGCACAGATTCATCTTCATCACAGGACAGGGGCAGAAATGTCCTGTCCCACCAGGTCAAGGCGGCTTCCATGGAGGGGAGGGCCCGTGACAGACCCAGAGAGTACCCCGACCCCACACAGGGCCTCCCAGGGGAGAGCTCCATTGCTGTGCGGCCGTTCCCCCTTCGGCACCCGCTGGCTCCCCTTGGTCCTGGGTGACCCCAGGCAGAGCCCCAGGAGGTGATGGGACATCTGCCTGACAGGCGGGGCACAGGCACTCTCACCCTCTCTTCCCGGGGCAGCGGCTGGAAGCCTGAGCCTGCAGATGGGTCTCCGCGGGACTGGCCTGGCCCCAAGCCTTACACTCAGCCATGGACGGGTCTCTGCTGAGCCTGTGCCCATGACCTCACTACACACAGGTCATCATAAAACTATGTCACACGTAGGACCTAGACTGACAGACTATTTCTTTGCCAGCCCCACCACAGGGATCGACAAGGATGTGAATGGCCCACATGGAACCTCTTTCCCTCAAGTTCCATCCCAGCCTTGAATCAGAAGCAGAGACAGAGCCCTTGGGAGGATGATAGGAACACTTACCTAGTTCTGTTGTTTGTGTTCCTTCAGCTATAACTGTGCTCCAAGGTGTGTCTGGAAGTGAGAACAAAGAGAAAGGCCATAGGTAGGTATCACTGAAACAGGTCCTTTAAAACTTGGTGGCGGGCATGATGACAATTTCACCTGTGCATCCTGCCTCTTGCTACCTGTGTGTGCACAAACCCCCTGTTGAGCAAGGTCTTGGGGCCCCAAGCCCTGTTGGAGATCAGACTGATCCCTCTAAATCTCTAAGTCTGCTGTGTTCTTTTCCTAACCAAAAAACCTTTGCCACCCCCCATCCCTGATCACATGCTTATTGGCAGTTCTGAGAGGTCAACCGAACTCTAAAGCCTGCGTAGAAAGACCACTGGAGTGATGATTTAATCTGGAGCCAATCACAAGTCCTTGTACCTGGAAACTCAGTCACACATTTCTCTACCATCTGCCGGGCACTGTGTCTGCCACACAGTGACGCACAGTGACCATGCTGAATCTCGTGGACTTAATGTGAGGGTAGGAGAGAGGACAGGAATCTGCTGTGCCACCAGTAGGACCCCAGTGGTTATGAATGTCCGTTATCGAATATAAATTCATCAGCCTGGACATGACACCGTCAACAGCCATGCCACCTGAGGCCATGCCTCTGAACATCGGCAGCTCTCTTTTGGGACAGCAACCAGGTGTTGGGGGAGGATACAGATGAATTAATAGTACACAGAGCCTTGGAAATCCCACATGTCCTTTCAGAGCATGTTGGGAATGCGAGTGATGGACGGCAGAGAACACGTGCGCCAGGGCGGCTTCCCAGGGCAGTGGTCACTAAGAGGAGGAGGAGAGGCATGGGCGTGCAGGAAGAGAAGCACTGCCTGAGCAAGGTCGCTGGAGACTCACCTGGCCAGGATGTGGTCTGGGACTGAGCGGCTGTGAGGAAGAGAAGGGAAATGTGAGGCCAGAATTAAGCAGTTCCCGTGGCCACAGTTGTGCGAGTTCCAGCCTCGGTGTGGGTGGCTCCACAGGTAGGACTCATGCCCTGAACAGCGCGTGTCGTCCAGGAGAATGGGCCCTGAGCCCTGCCCAAACCGGGCACTTCCCGGAGCTGACCTGGCCCCGCCACAGCCCAGCTGCCCGCACACCACGTTGGTGTCGTTGATGTCCCAATTGCCGTCACACACGGTCCCCCAGGTGCCTCGGTAGAGAACTTCCACCCGGCCCTGACACCGGTCACCTCCATTCACCAGCCTAGGGCCAAAGGCCTTTCGGTCCCAAACCCTAGAGACCACACGAAAACACCTCCTCTGTGACTGTGTTGAGCCACCAGGCCTGAGGTATGTTCCAGACCTTAGGACACCCTCCTGGCCTAACCACCCAGGACAAACAGTCAGCTTTAGACACATGCACAGATTTGTCTTCATCACAGGAAAGGGGCAGAGATGTTCTGTCTCGCCAGGTCAAGGTTGCTCCCATGGAGGGGAGCAGGACTCCCGGGAGGGGAGGGGGACTGCCATAACAGCCACACACAGAGCCTCCCAGGGCAGGGCTCCATTGCTCTGGGGCCATTCCCCCTGGTCAGCACCCACTGGCTCCCCCGTGGTCTTCGGTGACATCAGGCACAGCCTGAGGAGGTGATGGGACGTCTGCCTGACTGGAGGGGCCAGGGCACTCTCACCCCCTCTTCTCCGTGCTGTGGCAGGAGGCCTGAGCCTGCAGACGGGTCTCCATGGGACTGGCACCTCCCCCAGTCTTCACACTCAGCCATGGACGGTCTGTGCTAAGCCCCTGCCCAGGGCCTCACTACACACAGGTCTCCATGCAACTATGCCCCATATAGGACCTGGTCTCATAGACTATTTCTTCGTGAGCCCCACCACAGTGACAAGGATATGAATGGCACACATGGAGCCTCTTTTCACCACATTCCATCCCAGCCTTGAATCAGAACCAGAGACAGTGCCCCGGGGACGGTGAGCAAAATATATACCTGAGTCTGTGCTTGGTGGTGTTGAAGGCATGGAAGTGGTTGTCCATGTGTCTGGAAGTAACAACAAAGAGAAAGGCCATAGGTAGGCATCACCGAAACAGGTCCTTAAACCTTCTGTGAAGGACATGGTGACAATTTCTCCTGTGTGTCCCACCTCGTCCTCCCAGTGTGTGAGATAACTCCTGGCCTGATAGGTTTCGGGGGTTGAGCGAGTAGTGAGAGATCAGATTGATCCTCTCATCTCTAAGCCTGCCATGTCCTCTTCTCCACTGAAACCTTTTCCATTTCCCATTCTTGATTCGTGTGTTCAGTGGTAGTTCTGAGAGACTGACCATAGTCTGATGCCTGCTTAGAAAAAGTCAGGGGCTTCCAGTGAGATGGAGGCATAGACAGACATGGCTCGCCTCTTCGCACAACCACATCAAAATTACAGGTAAAATATAGAACAACCATCACTCAGGAATGTCAGAAAATGAGCTGAATGGAAGCCTGACAGCTATGGAATTAAGGAAACGGCATCCACCTAGACTGGTAGGAGGGACACAGATGCAAAATGGGCCAGTCCCACCCCCACATAGATAAAAATTTGGGTGGGATATCTCCAGAGTGAGGAGTCCCAGACTCACATTAGACCCCTCAGTACAGGATTCCAGTGCCAGAAAGGTAAGTCCCCACAACTTCTGGCTAAAAACCCAGCAGAGTTGATGGAAGAAACTTCTGGAGCCCCAAGCAGTTCCTCTTAAAGAACCCACACACACATTCACCTACTCAGACTAACTCTCCCTGAGCTCCAGCACCAAGGTAGCAGCTTGAAAAGCACCAGTGGTATCCAGGGAGAAATTGAAGTGTCTGGCACCAAGACCAGCAGAGACCATTGTCCCTCCCCCTCCCCCCACATAAACCCTCCCCCCACAGAGCTGGTAAGTTGGTGCCATATCTGAGACTCCATCAACCTGGCTAACACTGTTTGACCTGCCTTGAAGGTCCCCAGAGGTTCTAACCCACCCAAGCTGCTTTTCCATAATAGTGGCTGGTCTTGGCTCCTAAATCCTATCAAACAAGCAACAGCTAGCTGGCTTCAGTGAGCGCTAGGGACGGCCAGATTCGAGTCACAGCTTGGTTTTGCCTGAGAATCTCTAAGCCCAGCACAAATAGCAGCCATCTCAGATAGCTTTACAGCTCAGGCAGGGTGGCCCCAGGAAAAACACAGGTTGGGGCTGGCCTTGGCCTGCATCACCTGGGAAACCTCACAGCTAGCGCATCCAATGGACAGCTACAGACCACATCGGAGCACCACCACCCTGCCGCTGCACAGCTGATCCTCCACAGATGGCGGAGGTTGGTGGTCAGTGGCCATAGCCAGTCCTTGCAGCTGACTGGCCTAGATAAATCCCTCCCATCAATCTGTCAACAGCAACCAAGGCTCAACCTCAAGAGGAGGGTGTACTCAGCCCACACAAAGGGTACACCTCGAGTACCCAGCTCGGGTGACAAGGGAGGCTGTGCCACTGGACCCTATAGGACACCTACTACAGTAGTCCACACTAACAAGACACAGGATTGAAGCAGCTTTATCTAAAACATAGAAACAAACACAGGGAGGCTGCCAAAACAAGGAGATGAAGAAACATGGCCCAAATGAAAGAATGGATTGAAACTCTACCAAAAGAGCTAAATGAAATGCAGATAGGCAATCTATTAATGCAGAGTTCAAAACACTGTTTATAAGGATGCTCAAGGAACTTAGTGAGGACCTCAGCAGTATAAAAAGGTCCCAGTCAGAAATGAAGGTTACACTAAATGAAATAAAGAACAATGTACAGGGACACAACAGTAGAGTGGATGAAGCCAAGAATCAAATCAGTGATTTGGAACATAAGGAAGTAAAAAACAACCATACAGAACAGTAAGAAGAAAAAAGAATCCCCCCCCCCAAAAAAAATGAAGATAGTATAAACGGCCTCTGGAACAACTTCAAGAGGTCAAACATTCACATCATAGGGTTTCCAGGAGGAAAAGAGAAAGAGCAAGAAACTGGAAATCTATTTGAAAAAATAATGAAAGAAAACTTCCCTAATTTGGTGACGGAAATAGACATGCAAGTCCAGGAAGCATAGAGAGTCCCAATTATGATGGATACAAAGACGACCACTCCAACACATCATAATTAAAAGGCCAAAGTTTAAAGATAAAGAGAGACTCTTAAAAGCAGCAACAGAAAAGAAGTTAGTTACCAGATGTTTGCCTAAATGGGAAGGGGGAGGGGGAGAAGGATGAAGAAGTAGGGGATTAAGAAGTACAAATAAGTAGTTACAGACTAGCCACAGGGATGTAAAGTACAGTGTAGGAAATGGAGTAGCCAAGAACTTGTACACGTGACCCATGGACAAGAACAATGGTGAGGTGATTGCCTAAGGGAGTAAGGGGCACTGGCTGAAGGGCAAATGGGGAAAAAATCAGGAAAACAATAATAGTATAATTAATAAAGTATAAAATATTTAAATATTTTTATATATATAACTAAAATAAAATACAACCAAATATATTTTATATAACTAAAAAATGAATAAATAAAAATTTAAAAAAAGAAAGGCAGGGGCATACAGATTCAACCTGGAGACAATTACATGTCCATGTAACCCAGAAAATCTTGATCACATATTGTGCCCCCATCCCCTGGGCACTGTTTTGGCCACTTAGAGAAGCAGCTTGGAGGACCATGCTGAATCTCAGCATGTTGAAGGTGCGAGGGTAGAAGGCAGAAGTCTAATGTCCAAACAACAGAACTCCAGTGGTTAAGAATGTCCTTTATCCCTCAAAAATCTCATCAGCAAGGATGTAGTACATGGGAAGTTCTTGGAACCAGAGGCAACTTCTCTGAACAAGAGCAGCTCTCTTTGGGGGCAGCAATCAAGTATTGGATGGGGACTCAGGTGGATGTTGGACAGACAGTCTTGTGAGCCCAAGACTTCAATGGGGAGGACCCACATGAGTGGCCCTACCATAGGGACAAGGGTAAGGACCGCACACCTGGAGCCCCCTTCCATCATGTTCCATCCCAGCCCTGAATCAGACGCAGAGACAGAGCCTCTGGAGGGTGATAGGAATATGTACCTGATTCTGTGTTTCCTTCTGTTGAACGTGTATAAGTGGTTGACCATGTGTCTAGAAGTACAAGAAAGAGAAAGGCCATAGTTAGGCATCAACAAACAGGTTGTAGGGATAATGGAATCAGTCAGACTCCCTCACCCGGATGTCCGGAGAACTATGACTCCGCAGAGTTCATATAACGTTGAGTAAGGGCCCGCATGTGCAAATTAAGCTCTATTATATAACCAGAAGGTCAGATATTGACACCCCACCAGCTTTGTGTACAGTTGTATATAAGAGAGTCAGAACTTTCCACCTGCATGAGTGGATTGCCCCACCCAGGAATAAAGACACATCAGACAACCGGATGACTCTGTGTATTTTCTTCTGGCTGCCCGAAACCCACATTAATTGGCTGGACACAAGTCCCTTAAAAATTTTGATGTAGGGGCATCATGACGATTCCACATGTGCGTCCTGCCACTTGGTACCCGTGAGTGCACAAGCCCCCTGTTCAGCTAGGTGTTAGGGGCCAAGGCACTGTTGTGGATCAGACTGGTCCCTTTAAATCTTATAAGTCTGTCGTGTTGAAATTAAAAACCTTTCCCACCTTCCATTGCTGAGTCACATGCTCAATGGTAGTTCTCATGGGGACCAGACTCTAAACCTTGGCACAAAAGAGTCAGGGACATGGGGATGAAACGTGGAACGAGTCAAATGTCCTCATATCCAGAAAATCATTATCACACATCACTCTACCATCCCCTGGGCACTGTCTCTGCCACTCAGAGATACAGATGTGGCCATGCTGAATCTCAGGGTGTTGAAGGTGTGATGGTAGGAGCGCAACCAGAAGTCTGATGTCCCACCAAAAGAATTCCAGTGGTTAAGAATGTCCTTTATCCCTCAAAAATCCAGCATCCTGAATCTATTAGTGCAAAGTTTGTACAGCCAAAGGTCATCTGTCTGACCATGGGCACGTAGTTTGGGGGGCAGCAACAGAGTATTGGATGAGAACTCGGATGGATGATGAACAAATGCGGTCTTGTGGTTGCCGTGCATACTGAAGAAACACTGGTGGGAATCTCAGTGACGGAGGGCGAACTGAGCATGTTCCCAGTAGCAGGTTCCCAGAGCAGTGGTTCTTCTACAGTGAGGAGGACATGCATGGCTGGCCCCACCAGAGGGACAAGGGTAAAGGTGGCACAACTGGAGCCTCTTTCTATCACGTTCCACCACAGACTTCATTCAGAAGCAGAGAGAACCCCTGGGAGGGTGATAGGAATATTTACCTGTCTCTGCTGGTGGTGGTGTTGCAAGTGTCGTTGTGGTCCACAGTGTGTCTAGAGGTGACAATAAAGTGAAAGGTCATAGTTAGGAAACACTGAAGAAAGTCCTTCAAAAATTTTGTAACAAGCATCGGGACAACTCCACATGGGCGCCCTGCCACATGGTCCTTCTGTGTGCACAAGCTTTGTGTTCAGCAAGGTCTTTGGGATCAAAGGCCCTGTAGGAGATTTGACTGTTCCCCCCAAACCTCTAAACCTGTCATGGTCTCTTCTCCACTAAAAACCTGTGCCATTTCCCATCCCTGAGTCACGTGCTCACTGGTAGTTCTGAGAGGATGGCCAGACAATGAAGCTTGAGCAGAAAGGCTCAGAGGCATGGTGATTCAACGGAGAGCCAATCAAATGTCCTTGTACCCAGAAAGTCATAATAACGCATTACCATCTCCTGGGCGCTACCTCTGCCAATTGCAGATGCAGCTGTGACCGTGCTGAATCTCACTGTGGTGAGTGTGTGAGGGTAGAAAGCAGAAGTCTAATGTCCAAAAGACCGAACCCCAGTGGCTATGAATGGCCTGCATCCCTCAAAAATCTCATCAGACTGAATAGAGTAGGTGGGAAGCTGTTGAAAACGGAAGCTGCTTCTCTGACCATGAGCAGCTCTATTTGGGAGCAGGAATCAAATGTTGGATAGAACTCAGGTGGATGGTTGACAGACAGTCTTCTGAGCCTAAGACTATAATGCAGAGAACCCTCATGGGTGTCTTCACAGGGACAAGGGTAAGGATGGCACACCTGGAGCCCCCTTCCATCATGTTCTGTTCCAGCCCTGAATCAGACGCAGAGACAGAGCCCCTGGAGGGTGAAAGGAATATGTACCTGGTTCTGTGTTTGCTGCTGTTGAACGTGTGTAAGCAGGTGACCATGTGTCTAGAAGTACAACAAAAAGAAAGGCCACAGTTAGGCATCACCAAAAACAGGTCCTTTAAAAATTTTGTGGTGGTAAATGATGATTCAACATGTGCATCCCACCTCTTGCTACTTGTGAGTGCACAAGCCTCCTGTTCACTTAGGCCTTTGGGGACAAGGCCCTGCTGTTCATCAGATGGGTCCCTCTAAATCTCTAAGACTGCTGTGTCCTCTTCAAACCAAAAAACTGTGGCCATCTCCCATCCCTGAGTCATGTGCTCACTGGTAGTTCGGAGAGTTTAACCAGACCCTAAAGCTTGGACAGAAAGGGTCAAGGACATGGGGGTGAAACCTGGAGCCAATCGAATGTCCTTGTACCCAGAAAAATCATTATCACACATCACTCCACCATCCCTGGGCACTGTCTCTGCCACTCAGAGATACAGATGTGGCCATGCTGAATCTCAGGGTGTTGAAGGTGTGATGGTAGGAGCGCAACCAGAAGTCTGAGGTCCCACCAAAAGAATTCCAGTGGTTAAGAATGTCCTTTATCCCTCAAAAATCCAGCATCCTGAATCTATTAGTGCAAAGTTTGTACAGCCAAAGGTCATCTGTCTGACCATGGGCACGTAGTTTGGGGGGCAGCAACAGAGTATTGGATGAGAACTCGGATGGATGGATGATGAACAAATGCGGTCTTGTGGATGCCGTGCATACTGAAGAAACACTGGTGGGAATCTCAGTGACGGAGGGCGAACTGAGCATGTTCCCAGTAGCAGGTTCCCAGAGCAGTGGTTCTTCTACAGTGAGGAGGACATGCATGGCTGGCCCCACCAGAGGGACAAGGGTAAAGGTGGCACAACTGGAGCCTCTTTCTATCACGTTCCACCACAGACTTCATTCAGAAGCAGAGAGAACCCCTGGGAGGGTGATAGGAATATTTACCTGTCTCTGCTGGTGGTGGTGTTGCAAGGGTAGATGTGCTCAACCATGTATCTGGAAGTGACAATAAGAGAAAGGACATAGTTAGAAAACACTGAAGAGAGTCCTTTAAACATTTTATGGCAAGCATCAGGAAAAATCCACAGGTGCATCCTACCACATGGTCATTCTGTGTGCCCAAGCTTAGAGCTGAGCTGGGTCTTTGAAGTTGAAGACCCTGTTGGAGGATCAAAGGATCCCCTAAATCTCTGAACCTGTTATAGTCTCTTTTCCACTAAAATCCTTCGCCGCCTCCCATCACTGATTTATATGTGCATTGGCAGTTCTAAGAGGTTGACCAGACTCTGAACCTTGATAGAAAGATCACTGGTGTGATGTTTCAATACAGAGCCAGTCACAAATCCTTGTATCCAGAGTGTAATAACCACACACTACTCTACAAACTACTAGATAATGTCTCTGCCCCTTGCAGATGGCGCTGACCAGGGTGAATTTCCGTGTAGTGAAAGTGTGAGGATAGGAGAGACAACAGAAGCCTGGTGTGCCACCAACAGGACCCCAGTGGTTATGAATGCCCATTATCCCACATAAATTCATCAGCCTGGGCGTGATATAATCACCATTAATGCCATGGAGCCCATGTCTCTGAACATTAACAGCTATCCTTTGGGGCAACAATCAGGTATTGGGGGCAAACACAAAGGTACGAATAATACATGGACCTTGGAAATCCAATATACACTTCCAAAGCACTGTTGGAAATCTCAGTGATGGAAGGCAGAGAGCACTGAGCATGTACGGTTCACAGGGCAGTGGTCCACTAAGAGAAGGAGGAGAGGCATGGGCGTGCAGAAAGAGAAGCACTACCTGAGCAAGGTCGCTGGAGACTCACCTGGCCAGGATGTCCCATCATTCTGAGCAGCTGTAAGGAACAGAAGGAAAACATGAGATAAGAATCCTGCAGTTCCATGGTTGAAGACTCCCAGCCTACACCCACAGAGCTGATGCTTGGCAGGGGCCCTCACTGTGGACACTACCGCTGGCTGCCCGAGCCTCTCTGCCATTGCCAACACCTGCCTCACCGTACTGACGACTGACATTGCTCTTTGTTAAAGCCAGTGTCGTGCCCAAGACAGGCCAACACAGCCTTGGCTGACACCCAGGGAATGAGTAGAGGATGACCCTAACAAATGGGTTGATGTAGAAGCCAATTTATCCAGCTCGAGGTGTGGTGGCCATGGTCCTTTATAGTAATTTACAGAGTTTCCTTGAGTATTGTGCGACCATCCCCAAAGCCCTGCCTTGCTCGCTACTCTTCCATTCACCAGCCACCAGCCGTCTCACACCTCACCCTGCAACCTGCCATGTGTCTTGAGAGGCACAGAGGAGCTCTGTGACTTTCAGTCCTTTCCTCAGCATCATGTTGTGAAAGAGCCCCAAGCACAGCACTCATCACAGATGGAGCTTCCTACTCACCCCCACACCCAACAAACAACCCTTCCTGAGAGCACTGCCCCAGAAGGAACCTGAGGTGGGAGGTAAGCTCATGATACCCAAGCAGAAGGGAAAGGCTCCCTTCTTACCTCCAAGAAAGCTTGACTCTGAGCAAGAACACAGTGCTACAGTCCTCTCCTAAAACGTGCAGACAACAGTTGGAAAATGCTGGGGTCCCAGACTACCCAGGCTCTTTTTGAGTTAGAGCAGATGACACAGTCCTGAGTGCCGAGTGCCCTTGAATAAACTCCAGAACCAGGGACAGGGTTATGGGACTCGGGCAGGAGTGCTACAGTGGGAGTCGTGAGTTTTGTTAGATCGGGGCAATAAGGCCCCATGAAAGGGAGACCAACCGTGTCTGAGGCCCACCTGAGCAGATGACGCCGGCGTCCTCCCCGTGGCCACAGTTGTGCGAGTTCCAGCCTCGGTGCGGGCAGTGCCACAGGTAGGACTCACGCCCTGAGCAGCGCACGTCATCCAAGACTATTGGCCCTGAGCCCTGGCCGAACCAGGCACCTAACGGAGCTGATGTGGCCCAGCCACAGCCCAGCTGCCTGCACACCACGTTGGCGTCGTTGATGTCCCAGTCGTCGTCACACACGGTCCCCCAGGAGCCTCGGTAGAGAACTTCCACCCGGCCCTGGCACCGGTCACCTCCGTTCACCAGCCTCAGGTCCAAAGGCCCTTCAGTCCCAAACCCTAGAGGCAGCACAAGAACACCTCCTCTGTGACTGTGCTGAGCCCCCAGGCCTGAGGCACATTCCAGACCCTTGGGACACCCTCCAGGCCTAACCACCCAGAACAAACGGTCAACTTTGGACACGTTCACAGATTCATCTTCATCACTGGGAAGGAGCAGACGTCCTGTCCCACCAGGTCAAGCTGCTCCCATGGACGGGAGCACCCATGACAGCCCCAGGGAGGTCAGCGGGACTGCCACCCCGACCCACACGGGGCCTCCCGAAGCAGAGCTCCACTGCTCCAGGATATTCCACCTGGTCGGCACCCGCTGGCTCCCCCGTGGTCCTGGGTGACACCAGGCACAGCCCCAGGGGGTGTTGGGACGTCGCCCTGTCAGGAGGGGCGCGGGCACTCTCACCCCCTCGTCTCGGGACAGCTGCAGGAGGCCTGAGCCTGCAGACGGGTCTCCATGGGACTGGCACCTCCCCCAGCCTTCACGCTCGGCCACGGACGGTCTCTGCTGAGCCCCTGCCCATGGCCTCACTACACACAGGTCGCCATGCAACGGTGTCACTCGTGGAACCTGGTCTCACAGACTATTGCTTTGCGGACCCCCCCACAGTGACAAGGATATGGATGGTACACGTGGAGCCTCTTTTCACCACGTTCCGTCCCGGCCTTGAATCAGGAGCAAAGGCAGTGCTCTGGTGAGGGCGATGGCATGTGTACCTGAGTCAGTGCTTGGTGGTGTTGAAGGCATGTAAGGGGTTGTCCGCATGTCTGGAAGTATCAACAAAGAGAAAGGCCATGGGTGGGCATCACCAAAACAGCTCCTTAAAACTTCTATGGCAGGCACGATGAAAACTTCCCCTGTGCATCCCGCCTCATGCTACCTGTATATCACAGGACTCCTGCTCAGGTAGGTTTGGGGGTTTACGCTGATTCCTCTAATCTCTAAGCCTGTCATGCTCTTCTCCCCACTAAACCTTTGGACTTCCCATCCCTGAGTCACGTGCTCTTTGGTAGTTTTGAGAGGTTGACGAGACTCGAAAGCTCGGATTGAAAGACTTGGGGACGTGCGGATGAGACCTGGAGCCAGTCAAATGTCCCTATATTTGCAAAATCATTATCGTATATCAGTCCACTGGGGCCGGGCACTGTGTCTGCCACACAGTGACGCACAGTGACCATGCTGAATCTCGTGGACTTAATGTCGTGAGGGTAGGAGAGAGGACAGGAATCTGCTGTGCCACCAGTAGGACCCCAGTGGTTATGAATGTCCGTTATCCCACATAAATTCATCAGCCTGGACATGACAGCGTCAACAGCCATGCCACCTGAGGCCATGCCTCTGAACATCGGCAGCTCTCTTTTGGGACAGCAACCAGGTGTTGGGGGAGAATGGAATTGGATGAAGAGTACACAGAGCCTTGGAAACCCCACGTGCCCTTCCAGAGCGTGTTGGGAATGCGAGTGACGCGTGCGCCAGGGCGGCTTCCCAGGGCAGTGGTCACTAAGAGGAGGAGGAGAGGCATGGGCGTGCAGGAAGAGAAGCACTGCCTGAGCAAGGTCGCTGGAGACTCACCTGGCCAGGACGTGGTCTGGGACTGAGCGGCTGTGAGGAAGAGAAGGGAAGTGTGAGGCCAGAATCACGCAGTCCCAAGGTAGATGACCCTCACTCAGCCTATACCCACCGAGCTGACGCCTCGCACGGGCCCTCGCTGTGGACACTGCCGCTGGCTGCCCGAGCCTCTCTGTCCTTGCCGTCGCCTGCCTCACTGTGCCAGCGACTGACTTTGCTGCTTGCAAAGTGTCTGTCGTGCCCCAAACAGGCTAGCACAGCCTGGGCTGACACCCAGGGAGTGAGCAGAGGATGACCCTTACGAACGGGCTGAGGTAGATGCCAATATTTCCACCTAGAGGTTTGGTGACCATGGTCCTTAGTAGCAATTCCTGAAATTTCCCCGTGCATCACGCCCCCAAGCTCAAGGCCCTGCCTGGCTCGCCGACATTCCATTCACTGGTCACTTTCCCTCCCACAACTCATTCGGCCCCCTGCCACAGGTTGGGTGGTTCAGAGGGGAACTCTGTGCCCTTGGGCCCTTTCCTCAGCATCAGGTCTTGCGAGAGCCCCAAGCACTGCACTCATCACAGACAGAGCTTCCCACCCACCCCGCACCCAACAAACGACCCTGCCTGAGACCACTGCCCCAGGGGGACCCCAGGTTGGAGGTGAGCTCGCGATACCCAGGCAGAACGAAAAGGCTCCCTGCTCTGCCCTCCGGAGGCTTGACCCTGAGCAAGAACACGGTGCCTCAGCCCCCTGCAACAACCCGCGGGCAACACCTGGAGAATGCTGGAGTCCTGGACGAACCGGGCTCTTTTTTGAACCTGAGCAGGTGACATACCCCTGGTGTGCCAAGTGTCCTGGAACAAACTCCAGGACCAGGGAATATGCTACAGGGTCAGGCAGAGGACCCAGAGTGGGGGATTTGTTACTTCTGAGCAATAGCACCCAACGAAAAGGAGACCAACCGTGTCTGAGGCCCACCTGAGCAGGTGACGCCGGCGTCCTCCCCGTGGCCACAGTTGTGCAAGTTCCAGCCTTGGTGCGGGCAGCTCCACAGGTGGGACTCACGCCCTGAGCAGCGCACGTTGTCCAGGAGAATGGGCCCTGAGCCCTGCCCGAACCGGGCACTTCCTGGAGCAGATGTGCCCACACCACAGCCCAGCTGCCTGCACACCACGTTGGCGTCGTTGATGTCCCAGTCGTCGTCACACACGGTCCCCCAGGAGCCTCGGTAGAGAACTTCCACCCGGCCCTGGCACCGGTCACCTCCGTTCACCAGCCTCAGGTCCAAAGGCCCTTCAGTCCCAAACCCTAGAGGCAGCACAAGAACACCTCCTCTGGGACTGTGCTGAGCCCCCAGGCCTGAGGCACATTCCAGACCCTTGGGACACCCTCCAGGCCTAACCACCCAGAACAAACGGTCAACTTTGGACACGTTCACAGATTCATCTTCATCACTGGGAAGGAGCAGACGTCCTGTCCCACCAGGTCAAGCTGCTCCCATGGACGGGAGCACCCAAGACAGCCCCAGGGAGGCAGCGGGAGCCACCCCGACCCACGGGGCCTCCCGGAGTTGGATTTACCTGGACCTCCCCCGTGGTCTGGGTGACACCAGGCACAGCCCCAGGGGGTGTTGGGGCGCCCTGTGGGGGGGGGCTCTACCCTATGCTGGAGGGACGAGCGGGTCTCCATGGGACTGGCACCTCCCCCAGCTTCGGGCGGGGAGCCTGCCCTACTACACACAGGTCGCCATGCAACGGTGTCACTCGTGGAACCTGGTCTCACAGACTATTGCTTTGCGGACCCCCCCACAGTGACAAGGATATGGATGGTCCACGTGGAACCTCTTTTCACCACGTTCCGTCCCGGCCTTGAATCAGGAGCAAAGGCAGTGCTCTGGTGAGGGCGATGGCATGTGTACCTGAGTCGGTGCTTGGTGGTGTTGAAGGCGTGTAAGTGGTTGTCCGCATGTCTGGAAGTATCAACAAAGAGAAAGGCCATGGGTGGGCATCACCAAAACAGCTCCCTTAAAACTTCTATGGCAGGCACGATGAAAACTTCCCCTGTGCATCCCGCCTCATGCTACCTGTATATGTGCACAGGACTCCTGCTCAGGTAGGTTTGGGGAAGGTTGTTTATCGCTGATTCCTCTAATCTCTAAGCCTGTCATGCTCTTCTCTTCCACAAAACCTTTGGACTTCCCATCCCTGCGTCATGTGGTCTTTGGTAGTTCTGAGAGGTTGGCCGAGACTCGAAAGCTCGGATTGAAAGACTTGGGGACGTGCGGATGAGACCTGGAGCCAGTCAAATGTCCCTATATTTGCAAAATCATTATCGATATCAGTCCACTGGGGCCGGGCACTGTGTCTGCCACACAGTGACGCACAGTGCAACCATGGTGAATCTCAGTGGACTTAATGTCGTGAGGGTAGGAGAGAGGACAGGAATCTGCTGTGCCACACAGTAGGACCCCAGTGGTTATGACTGTCCGTTATCCCACATAAATATTCATCAGCCTGGACATGACAGCGTCAACAGCCATGCGAGGCCATGCCTCTGAACATCGGCAGCTCTCCTTTGGGACAGCAACCAGGTGTTGGGGGAGAATGGAATTGGATGAAGAGTACACAGAGCCTTGGAAATCCCACGTGCCCTTCCAGAGCGTGTTGGGAATGCGAGTGACAAAAGCGTGCGCCAGGGCGGCTTCCCAGGGCAGTGGTCACTAAGAGGAGGAGGAGATTCATGGGCGTGCAGGAAGAGAAGCACAATGTCTGAGCAAGGTCGCTGGAAACTCACCTGGCCAGGACGTGCTCTGGGACTGAGCGGCTGTGAGGAAGAGAAGGGAAATGTGAGGCCAAGAATCATGCAGTTCCAAGGTTGATGACCCAAACTCAGCCTATACCCACCGAGCTGACGCCTCGCATGGGCCCTCGCTGTGGACACTGCCGCTGGCTGCCCGAGCCTGTCTGTCCTTGCCGTCGCCTGCCTCAATGTGCCAGCGACTGACTTTGCTGCTTGGTCAAAGTGTCGTGTCGTGCCCCAAACAGGCTAGCACAGCCTGGGCTGACACCCAGGGAATGAGCAGAGGATGACCCTTACGAATGTGCTGACGTAGATGCCAGTATTTCCTCCTAGACGTTTGGTGACCATGGTCCTTAGTACGCAATTCCTGATATATCCCCGTGCATCACGCCCCCAAGCTCAAGGCCCTGCCTGGCTCGCCGACATTCCATTCACTGGTCACTTTCCCTCTCACAACTCACTTCGGCCCCCTGCCACAGGTATGGGTGGTTCAGAGGGGAACTCTGTGCCCTTGGGCTCTTTCTTCAGCATCAGGTCTTGGGAGAGCCCCAAGCACTGCACTCATCACAGACAGAGCTTCCCACCCACCCCGCACCCGACAAACGACCCTGCCTGAGACCTAACTGCCCCAGGGGGACCCCAGGTTGGGAGGTGAGCTCGCGATACCCAGGCAGAACGAAAAGGCTCCCTGCTCTGACCTCCGGAAGCTTGTCCCTGAGCAAGAACACGGTGCCTCGGCCCCCTGCAACAACCCGCGGGCAACACCTGGAGAATGCTGGGGTCCTGGACGACCCGGGCTCTTTTTTGAACCTGAGCAGGTAGACATACCCCTGGTGTGCCAAGTGCCCTGGAATAAACTCCAGTACCAGGGAAGTTATGTAGGGTCAGGCAGAGGACCCAGAGTGGGGGATTTGTTACTTCTGAGCAATATGGCACCCAACGAAAAGGAGACCAACCGTGTCTGAGGCCCACCTGAGCAGGTGACGCCGCGGCGTCTTCCCCGTGGCCACAGTTGTGCAAGTTCCAGCCTTGGTGCGGGCAGCTCCACAGGTAGGACTCACGCCCTGAGCAGCGCACGTTGTCCAGGAGAATGGGCCCTGAGCCCTGCCCGAACCGGGCACTTCCTGGAGCAGATGTGCCCACACCACAGCCCAGCTGCCTGCACACCACGTTGGCGTCGTTGATGTCCCAGTCGTCGTCACACACGGTCCCCCAGGAGCCTCGGTAGAGAACTTCCACCCGGCCCTGGCACCGGTCACCTCCGTTCACCAGCCTCAGGTCCAAAGGCCCTTCAGTCCCAAACCCTAGAGGCAGCACAAGAACACCTCCTCTGGGACTGTGCTGAGCCCCCAGGCCTGAGGCACATTCCAGACCCTTGGGACACCCTCCAGGCCTAACCACCTGGGGCAAACAGTCAGGTTTGGAGACATGGATAGATTCATCCTCTTCACAGGAAAGGAGCAGAGACATCCTATCCCACCAGCTCAAGGCTGTTCCCATGGAGGGAAGCGCCCATGAACCTTACCACACACAGGTCGTCATGCAACTGTGTCACACATAGGCCCTGGTCCCACAGACTACCTCTTTGTGGGCCCCACCACAGTGACAAGGATATGAATGGCCCATGTGGAACCTCTTTCCATCACGTTCCATCTCAGCCTTGAATCAGAGAGAGGCAGTGCCCTGGTGAGGGTGACACACACATATACCTGTACCGGTGCTTGGTGGTGTTGAAGGCGTGGAAGTGGATGGCCATGTGCCTAGAACTGACCACAAAGAAAAAGCCCTCTGTTAGGGATTACGAGTGCTGACCCTTAAAAATTTTGTGGGGACATCCTGACAATCGCATCCTGCCACTGGCTACCTTAATGTGCACAAGTCTGCTTTTCTGCTAGGTCTTTAGGGTCCAAGGCCTTGTTCAAATTCAGACCGATTCCTTTATCTCTGGGCCTGCTGTGTTCTCTTTCAACAAAATGCTTTGCCATTTCCCATCCCTGCGTCATGGGGTTATTGGTAGTTCTGAGAGGTTGGCCTGAGTCTAAAGCTTGGATAGGAAGAGACAGAGACATGTAGATGAAACCTGGAGCCAATCAAATGTCCAGAGGCCTTACTCATGTCACTCTACCTTCCCTGAGCACTGTCCGTGCCACTTTGAGATGCAGATGCAACCATGGTGCATCTCAGGGTGTCGATGGTGTGAGGGTGGGAGAGGAGACAGAAGCCGGACGTCCTGCACACAGAACAGCAGTGATTAGGACTGTCTCTTTTTCCCACTAAATATTTATCAGCCTGGATGTAACCTGTTATGCAAGTGCAGGCTGTCTCTCCGTCACTGGCAGCTGTCCTTGGACAGCAACCAAGAACTGGGTAAGAACAGAAATGGATGCATAATACACGGAGTCTTGGAAATCCCACCGAAACTTTTGAAATGCTCTTGGGAATCTCAGTGATAAAGGGCAAAAGCATGTGCCTTACACGGGGTTCACAGAGCAGTGGTTCACCTAGAGCGTGAGCGAGATTCAATGGTGTGCGGAAAAGACACAATATCTGAGCATGGTCGCTGGAAACTCACCTGGCCAGGATGTGCTCTGGGACTGAGCAGCTGTGAGGAAGAGAAGGGAAATGTGAGAACAAGAATCATGCAGTTCAAAGGTTGATGACCCAAATATTATACCCACCGAGCTGATGCCTCTCATGGGCCCTGACAGTGGACACTATTGCTGGCTGCCTAAACCTGTCTACCCTGGCATCATTTACCTCAATGTGCCCGATGACTGACTTTGCTGTTGGTCAAAGCCAGTGTCATACCTGAGACTGGCCAGCACAGTCTTGGTTGACACCTAGAGAATGAACAGAGAATGACCCTAACGAATGTGTTGACGTAGACACCAGTTCTTCCTCCTTGACTTGTGCTGACGATGGTCCTTTACAGAAATTTCTAGAGTATCCTCTGCCTGTCCTCAAGGCCCTTCCTGGCTCGCCAGCATTCCATTCATTGGCCACCTGCCCTCTCACACCTCACCTTGCCCCTGCCACGTATTGGGTGGTTCATAGACGAGCTCTGTGCCCTTGGTTTCTTTCTTCAGCATCAGATCCTGGGAGAGCCCCAAGCACTGCACTCATCACAGACAGAGCTTCCCACCCACCCCCACACCTGACAAACAATCCTTCTTGAACATAACTGCAAGAGGACTACAACTTGGGAGGTGAGCTCGTGTCACTGGGGCAGAAGGGAAAGGCTCCCCTCTCTAACCTCAGGAAGCTTGTCCCTGAGCAAGAACACAGTGCCATAGTCCCCTACAACAACCAGTGGGCTTTACCTGGAGAATGCTGGGGTCCTGGACTACCCAGGCTCTTTTTTGAACCAAGGCCAAAGACCTAACCCCTGAGTGCCAAGTGCCCTGGAATAAGCTCCAGTACAAGGGTCAAGTCTATGAGGCTCAGGCAGGAGCATTGGAGTGGAAATTTTGTTAGTGCTGAGCAATATGGTCCCATGAAAGGGAGACCAACCATGTCTGAGGCCCACCTGAGCAAATGACGCCAGCGTCTTCCCCGTGGTTACAGTTGTGTGAGTTCCAGCCTTGGTGCGGGCAGCTCCACAGGTAGGACTCACGCCCTGAGCAGCGCACGTTGTCCAGGAGAATGGGCCCTGAGCCCTGCCCGAACCGGGCACTTCCTGGAGCAGATGTGCCCACACCACAGCCCAGCTGCCTGCACACCACGTTGGCGTCGTTGATGTCCCAGTCGTCGTCACACACGGTCCCCCAGGAGCCTCGGTAGAGAACTTCCACCCGGCCCTGGCACCGGTCACCTCCGTTCACCAGCCTCAGGTCCAAAGGCCCTTCAGTCCCAAACCCTAGAGGCAGCACAAGAACACCTCCTCTGGGACTGTGCTGAGCCCCCAGGCCTGAGGCACATTCCAGACCCTTGGGACACCCTCCAGGCCTAACCACCTGGGGCAAACAGTCAGGTTTGGAGACATGGATAGATTCATCCTCTTCACAGGAAAGGAGCAGAGACATCCTATCCCACCAGCTCAAGGCTGTTCCCATGGAGGGAAGCGCCCATGAACCTTACCACACACAGGTCGTCATGCAACTGTGTCACACATAGGCCCTGGTCCCACAGACTACCTCTTTGTGGGCCCCACCACAGTGACAAGGATATGAATGGCCCATGTGGAACCTCTTTCCATCACGTTCCATCTCAGCCTTGAATCAGAGAGAGGCAGTGCCCTGGTGAGGGTGACACACACATATACCTGTACCGGTGCTTGGTGGTGTTGAAGGCGTGGAAGTGGATGGCCATGTGCCTAGAACTGACCACAAAGAAAAAGCCCTCTGTTAGGGATTACGAGTGCTGACCCTTAAAAATTTTGTGGGGACATCCTGACAATCGCATCCTGCCACTGGCTACCTTAATGTGCACAAGTCTGCTTTTCTGCTAGGTCTTTAGGGTCCAAGGCCTTGTTCAAATTCAGACCGATTCCTTTATCTCTGGGCCTGCTGTGTTCTCTTTCAACAAAATGCTTTGCCATTTCCCATCCCTGCGTCATGGGGTTATTGGTAGTTCTGAGAGGTTGGCCTGAGTCTAAAGCTTGGATAGGAAGAGACAGAGACATGTAGATGAAACCTGGAGCCAATCAAATGTCCAGAGGCCTTACTCATGTCACTCTACCTTCCCTGAGCACTGTCCGTGCCACTTTGAGATGCAGATGCAACCATGGTGCATCTCAGGGTGTCGATGGTGTGAGGGTGGGAGAGGAGACAGAAGCCGGACGTCCTGCACACAGAACAGCAGTGATTAGGACTGTCTCTTTTTCCCACTAAATATTTATCAGCCTGGATGTAACCTGTTATGCAAGTGCAGGCTGTCTCTCCGTCACTGGCAGCTGTCCTTGGACAGCAACCAAGAACTGGGTAAGAACAGAAATGGATGCATAATACACGGAGTCTTGGAAATCCCACCGAAACTTTTGAAATGCTCTTGGGAATCTCAGTGATAAAGGGCAAAAGCATGTGCCTTACACGGGGTTCACAGAGCAGTGGTTCACCTAGAGCGTGAGCGAGATTCAATGGTGTGCGGAAAAGACACAATATCTGAGCATGGTCGCTGGAAACTCACCTGGCCAGGATGTGCTCTGGGACTGAGCAGCTGTGAGGAAGAGAAGGGAAATGTGAGAACAAGAATCATGCAGTTCAAAGGTTGATGACCCAAATATTATACCCACCGAGCTGATGCCTCTCATGGGCCCTGACAGTGGACACTATTGCTGGCTGCCTAAACCTGTCTACCCTGGCATCATTTACCTCAATGTGCCCGATGACTGACTTTGCTGTTGGTCAAAGCCAGTGTCATACCTGAGACTGGCCAGCACAGTCTTGGTTGACACCTAGAGAATGAACAGAGAATGACCCTAACGAATGTGTTGACGTAGACACCAGTTCTTCCTCCTTGACTTGTGCTGACGATGGTCCTTTACAGAAATTTCTAGAGTATCCTCTGCCTGTCCTCAAGGCCCTTCCTGGCTCGCCAGCATTCCATTCATTGGCCACCTGCCCTCTCACACCTCACCTTGCCCCTGCCACGTATTGGGTGGTTCATAGACGAGCTCTGTGCCCTTGGTTTCTTTCTTCAGCATCAGATCCTGGGAGAGCCCCAAGCACTGCACTCATCACAGACAGAGCTTCCCACCCACCCCCACACCTGACAAACAATCCTTCTTGAACATAACTGCAAGAGGACTACAACTTGGGAGGTGAGCTCGTGTCACTGGGGCAGAAGGGAAAGGCTCCCCCTCTCTAACCTCAGGAAGCTTGTCCCTGAGCAAGAACACAGTGCCATAGTCCCCTACAACAACCAGTGGGGTTTACCTGGAGAATGCTGGGGTCCTGGACTACCCAGGCTCTTTTTTGAACCAAGGCCAAAGACCTAACCCCTGAGTGCCAAGTGCCCTGGAATAAGCTCCAGTACAAGGGTCAAGTCTATGAGGCTCAGGCAGGAGCATTGGAGTGGAAATTTTGTTAGTGCTGAGCAATATGGCCCCATGAAAGGGAGACCAACCTTGTCTGAGGCCCACCTGAGCAAATGACGCCAGCGTCTTCCCCGTGGTTACAGTTGTGTGAGTTCCAGCCTTGGTGCGGGCAGCTCCACAGGTAGGGCTCGTGCCCTAAGCAGCGCAGGTTGTCCAAGACAATTGGACCAGAGCCCTGCCCGAACCGGGCACTTCCCGGAGCCGAAGTGGCCGAGCCACAGCCCAGCTGCCTGCACACCACATTGGCGTCATTCATGTCCCAATCGTCGTCACACACGGTCCCCCAGGAGCCTTGGTAGAGAACCTCCACCCGGCCCTGACACCGGTCACCTCCATTCACCAGCCTCAGGTCCAGAGTCCACTGGGTCCCAGACCCTAGAGATGGCACAAGGACACCTCCGACATGACTATGTTGAGCCATGAGGCCTGAAGCTCCTTACAGACTCTTGGGACCCCCTGGCCCTGGCCTAACCATCCAGGGCAGACAGTCAGATTGCACATGTGCACAGACTTATTTTCATCATAAGAAAGGAGCAGAGATGTCCTGTCCCTCCCAGTCAAGGCTGCTCCAATGGAGGGAAGGGCCCATGACCACCCAAGGGAAGTGAGCTGGATTGCTGCCCTGACCCACACAAAAAGGCCCCCTGCGCTGCCCTCAGGACACTTGATCCTGTGTGTGAACATGGGGCACAGCCACCACCGACCTGATTTCAGCCAGTACCAGCAGGATACTGGGGACACGCGTATTCTAACCAGACACTTTCTCAGCTACAGCAAATGACATCGTATCTTGGTGCCAGCTGCCTCAGCACAAACTCTAGTGCCAGGCACAGCATTACAATGCTGGGAATTAGCCTAGGACTGGGAAGTGTGTTTGGTCTCTGCAACGTTACCCAGAAGGGGACCCAGCAATGTCTGAGGCCCACCTGAGCAGATGACGCCAGCATCTTCCCCGTGGTTACAGTTGTGTGAGTTCCAGCCTTGGTGCGGGCAGCTCCACAGATGGGACTCTTGCCCTGAGCAGCGCACATTGTCCAGGACAATTGACCCTGAGCCCTGCCCGAACCGGGCACTTCCTGGAGCAGATGTGGCTAAGCCACAGCCCAGCTGCCTGCACACCACGTTGGCGTCATTGATGTCCCAGTCGTCGTCACACACGGTCCCCCAGGAGCCTTGGTAGAGAACTTCCACCCGGCCCTGACACCGGTCACCTCCATTCACCAGCCTCAGGTCCACAGTCCCTTCGGTCCCAAACCCTACAGATGGCACAAGAACACCTGCTCTGTGACTCTATGTAGCTTCCAGGCCTGAGACACATTCTAGACTCTTGGGACACCCTCCTGGCCTAACCACTCAGGGCAAACAGTCAGCTTGGGACACGTGCACAGATTTGTCTTCATCACAGGAATGCAAGAGAGATGTCCTGTCCGCCAGGCCAAGGCTGCTCCATGGTGGGGAGCACCCATGACAACACCCAGGAGGTGAGGGGACTGCCACCCCGACCCACACGAAAAGGTCCCCTGCGCTGCCCTCAGGAAGGTTGACCCTGTGTGTGAACATGGGCACAGCCACCACCGACCTGATTTCAGCCAGTACCAGCAGGATACTGGGGACACGTGTATTCTAACCAGACACTTTCTCAGCTACAGCAAATGACATCGTATCTTGGTGCCAGCTGCCTCAGCACAAACTCTAGTGCCAGGCACAGCATTACAATGCTGGGAATTAGCCTAGGACTGGGAAGTGTGTTTGGTCTCTGCAACGTTACCCAGAAGGGGACCCAGCAATGTCTGAGGCCCACCTGAGCAGATGACGCCAGCATCTTCCCCGTGGTTACAGTTGTGCGAGTTCCAGCCTCGGTGCGGACAGCTCCACAGGTAGGACTCCTGCCCTGAGCAGCTCACGTCATCCAGGACAATCGACCCTGATCCCTGCCCAAACTGGGCACTTCCTGGAGCCGACGTGGCCGAGCCACAGCCCAGCTGCCTGCACACCACGTTGGCGTCATTGGTGTCCCAACTATCGTCACACACGGTCCCCCAGGAGCCTTGGTAGAGAACCTCGACCCGGCCCTGACACCGGTTTTCTCCATTCACCAGCCTCAGGGCCAAACTCGATTCGGTCTCGAACCCTAGAGATGGCACAAGGACACCTCCTCTGTGATGATGTGGAGCTGCCAGGCCTGAGGCTCATTCTAGACTCTTGGGACCCCCTCCTGGTCTAAAAACCTGGGGCCACCAGTCAGCTTTGGACACGTGCTCAGATTCATCCTCATCACAGGAAAGGAGCAGAGATGTCCTGTCCCGCTAGGTCAAGGCGGCTGCCATGGACGGGAGCACCCATGACAGCCCCAGGGAGGTGAGGGGCCTGCCACCCCAACCCACACGAAAAGGCTTCGTGCTCTGCCCTCAGGAAGCTTGAACCTGTGTATAATCACAGGTGCACAGCCACCATCAAATCAATTCTGGGCAGTACCAGCAGAATTCTGGGGACACACCTATTCTAATAAAGATGCTTTCTCAGCTACAGCAAATGACATCCTATCTTGGCTGCCAGCTGCTCTAGCACAAACACTAGTGCCCAGCACAGTGTAACAAAGCGGGGAATTAACCCAGGACTGGGAAATGTGCTTGGTCTCTGCAATGTCACCCAGAAGGGGACCCAGCAATGTCTGAGGCCCACCTGAGCAGATGACGCCAGCGTCCTCCCCGTGGCCACAGTTGTGCGAGTTCCAGCCTCGGTGCGGGCAGCTCCACAGGTGGGACTCTTGCCCTGAGCAGCGCACGTCATCCAGGGCAATAGACCCTGATCCCTGACCAAACCGGGCACTTCCCGGAGCCGAAGTGGCCGAGCCACAGCCCAGCTGCCTGCACACCACGTTGGCGTCATTGATGTCCCAGCTGTCGTCACACACGGTCCCCCAGGAGCCTTGGTAGAGAACCTCCACCCGGCCCTGACATTGGTTATCTCCATTCACCAGCCTCAAAGCCAAATTTCCTTCAGTCCCGAACCCTAGAGATGGTACAAGAACGTCTCAGTAACTATGCGGAGCTGCTAGGCCTGAAGCATATTCCAGAGTCTTGACACGCCCTCTTGCCCTAACCACCCGGGGCAAAGAGTCAGCTTTGGACATGTGCAGAGATTCATCTTCATCATAGGAAAGGAGCAGAGACGTCCTGTCCTGTCAGGGCAAAGCTGCTCCCCTGGAGGGGAGTGCCCATGACAGGCCTGGAAGTGAGGGGACTGCCACCCCACCCCACATGAAAAGGCCCCTTGCACTGCCTCCAGGAAGCTTGAGCCTGTGTATAATCACAGGTGCACAGCCATCACCAAATCACTTTCAGGCAGTACCAGCAGGATGCTGGGGATGCACCTGTTCCAACAAAGATCTTTTCTCGCTACAGCAGGTGACATCATGTCTTATCTGCCAGCTGCCCTAGTGCAAGTCTAGTGCCTGGCACAGTGTTATGATGCTTGGGAATTAGCCCATGACTGGGAAGTGTGCTTGGTTTCTGCAACGTCACCCAGAAGGGGACCCAGCAATGTCTGAGGCCCACCTGAGCAGATGACGCCAGCGTCCTCCCCGTGGCTACAGTTGTGCGAGTTCCAGCCTCGGTGCGGACAGCTCCACAGGTAGGACTCACGCCCTGAGCAGCTCACATCATCCAGGACAATCGACCCTGATCCCTGCCCGAACCGGGCACCTCCTGGAGCCGACATGGCCCAGCCACAGCCCAGCTGCCTGCAGACCACGTTGGCGTCATTCATGTCCCAGCCGTCGTCACACACGGTCCCCCAGGAGCCTTGGTAGAGAACCTCCACCCGGCCCTGACACCGGTCACTACCATTCACCAGCCTCAGGTCCAAATTTGATCTTTCAGCAAACCCTAGAGATGGCACAAGAACACCCCCTCCATGACTATGTTGAGCTGCCAGGCCTGAAGCACTTTCTAGAGCCTTAGGACACCCTCCAGGCCTAATCACCGATGGCAAACAGTCAGCTTTGGCACGTGCATTGATTCATCCTCATCATAGGAAAGGAGCAGAGACATCCTGTCCCGGCAGGCTAAGGCTGCTCCAAGGTAGGGGCACACCCATGACCGCCCCCAGGGAGGTGAGGGGACTGCCAGCCTGACCCCAGAAGCAGCCAGTTTATTCCATCTTAGGTGTAGGTACAGCATCCCTCTTAATATGTTCCTCTCGAGGCTTTGTGCTTTAGAGTGAAGCACTCTAAATGGCCTCACGCAATGATCCCTGAGAGTATCTCTAACTGGGCTGGACTCTGAACATGTGTTTAATTAGAGTTCTTCTTGGTGAATGTACAGTGACTGCTCTCCAGCCCAAGCTACCAGAAATTCAGGGGGAAGATGTTCTTTAGGCTGCTCTCTGAAGAGGGTCTGGGCACCACCCACATGATTCATCTCTCAATAGACTGTGGGCAGTGCCTCGGTTCCCCGGGACACTTGTCCCATGGCGTCCCCATGCTGGAGAGAAGTCTGATGAGAGCTGCATGTCCTGGGGGGAGCCCTGGCATCTCTCTGGGGATCTGCTTTTGGCTCAGAGAGCATTTTGCACATGTCTTTTCTAGTCCACATCCGGGTCTGTGGAGCTAAGGTGACTGAGGTCAGCAAAGAGTTGAGGAACAGAGCTGGCCCTGTGGTCTTGAAATTGATCCCCCTGGTCTCTGAGCCAAAGCACACAGGCTTCTGGAAACCCCTGACTCCTCCCCACCTGCTGGGACATGGACAACAAAGGAGGCTGCCTTCCAATCCAGATCCTCTGTTTCATGAGAGACCTCCCTTTGTATTGCTTGCTTACAACATTCCCTCTCACCTGGCCCTGAAAGATTTCCTGAGTAAGAGACAAGCCCATGGCTATACTTGGTATCATGAGCTGCAGAGAAGGAACCATATAAAATTGTTCATTACCTACTACAGGAGCCGTCTTGATATTTGTTCTAGTATTCCCTGCGACAGATTGTAGAACTGGGAAGAAACAGAAAATATTGTTAGCTTTCCTCCGAGAAGAAACAAGGACTGAATGTAAACTTGAATCTGGTACATTCCTGATCTGGATTTTTTTCTTCCTATGTGGCTTTGGAAAAGTCAACAAACCTATCTAGCCTTGAGTTCTTTCATGTTAAAAGGCTCTTTGGGCCCTGGCTGGTGTGGCTCAGTGGGTTGAGTGCCAGCCTATGAACTAAAATGTCTCTGGTTCGATTCCCAGTCAGGGCACATGCCTGGGTTGCAGGCCAGGTCCCCAGTTGGCGATGTGCAGAAGGCAACCAATCAATATTTCTCTTCCACATCAATGTTTTTCTCCCTCTCTTCCCCCACCCAACTTCCCCCTTAAAAATAAATAAAAATCGTTCCAAAAAGGCTTTTGAGGGAAGGAGGGTATCTCTGTATCAGCCTACTGAGCCTGATTTTGATCTTCCCACATGTGACCTACCTAGGGCTCCAGGAAATGGATGCAAAAATAATTTTCACATCTTTATACTTCTAATCATGTTTTCTTATATGATTGCATTGGCTAGCATCTTTAATACAATATTGAATAGTTAGGGGAAGGAGGCTGAAGGGCATACTTATTTTTCTTTTTACATTAGTAGAAATGGTTCTAATGTTTCCCTGTTAAGTAAGATTCTAGCTTTAAGCTTCTGGCTTTCAAACTGCTCCAAGGAGCCCTGGTGCTTGTCTAAAGGTCCTGCCAAGAGCCTACTTGGTGCTAGGGCTTGGAGAGAAAATAACCTGAGAGCTGCTCTTAACCGACTGCATCCAGAGCCCTTGATTTTTGTCTGAATTATCATCTATTGGGCTGCTACATGAGGTCTTTTTGGATGTAGAAGAAGTGTGACCCCCAAGCTCCACCTTCACTGGAGGCTCTGCCAGCTCTAAATTAGTCCTATCTGCTGTCCTGTGACATCGGCAGATAGCCAAACCCCTCCAGCCCCTCATTTGCCCTCCTGGCCACACAAGTTGTACCAAAGGGCTTGTCAGGCCTGGCTGGTATTCCTAATACAGAGCAGGATTCTCAGGGGGAATCATTACAGAGGGAAGAGGTTCTCCTCTTACAGCTGCTGCAACTAAGAATTTGGGGCAGAGACATGGCTAACTTAGCACACAGCCAGTCTCATCCTCAGCTCTGGTGACATCTGTGTCCTTAATCGGAGGGAATAGAAAGAGAAGGTAAAGTCAGGCCTTGCTCCGTAGGTCCCAGGGATGGAAATGTCTGACACACGTACCATAATTTTCACATCTTTATACTTCTAATCATGTTTTCTTATATGATTGCATTGGCTAGCATCTTTAATACAATATTGAATAGTTAGGGGAAGGAGGCTGAAGGGAGGATTCACAGCTGATCCATGCTGGGTCCTGACAGGGGCCTTGGTCAGAGTTTCTAGGGTCGAAGTTTCCCATGAAAAATGGGCAGTGACATTCCTTCCTGAAGCCCAGGCTGCCAGAATCTCAGGCTCTACTGACTGTACTTCCCAGTTCTCCCCATGGAGGCCCCGCAGAGGGATGCAGGGCCTCTGCTGCCCACAGGATGAAGGACTGTGATCCTTCTATGCTGAGATGGAACCGAGGTGTCCTGACATGGGCTCAGGAGAGGGCACAGGCAAGGACACCGCTCGGCAGGCTGCCTCTCCGGGCCTTGCAACCAGCGACCCTGCACCCCCGGTCTGGCCAGGAGGCACATGGTTGGGGGAGGACCGCAGGAGGGGGCACTGAGTGTGGACAGCAGAGCCCATGCAGCCGGGACATCAAGCCCCACCTTGGAGCTCCTTGGAGACGCCTCTGCGGGTTGGCTCCTCCTTCATCCCACAGATATGGTCCATACAAAGGACACCCATTCGGGCCTGAGGCCATGTTCAGGGGATCCCCCGCCAGGAGCTGAGCACCCCCATCTCTCACACCTTCAGAACCTCTCCTGGACTGGGGTGCAGCAGGGTCAAGAGCCCACAAGGATCCCACATAACAAACGTTACCTTCTGCAGGCGTTGTCAGGGGTTCCTCCGTGGAAAGCAAAGCAGCTGCAGAGAGGAGAGGAGAAGAGGTCACTGGATGTTGGACCTCCTCTGAGGAGGGCTAGCCTTCCGCCACCTCGGCTCTGAAATCAGGTGCTGGAGGCAGAGCTCCAGCGGCGCCCACTGCCGAGCAGCTATGTTTCATCCCCATGAAGCAGAACATACTTCCCCGTCCCCTTGCTGGCCCCCCTTCAACGCTGGGATGTCGCCGAGGACACCCCCTGCTCCTGTCGCCATCCCTCCCCTCCTGAGCTCCCACAGACTCCACCCATGAAATCACCCAGTTGATTATCAGCCCTCTAGTCACAAGGCTGGACACCAAATACCAACTGCCTGTTTCTGTAGCTCCAGCACACCCTCAAATGACAAATACCGACCATCCCTGAGAGATTCCCGAGAAAGTAGCCCCAACCAGAAGAAGCACAGTTTCTCAAAATGCGTCCCCAACTGCTGAAATATACCCGCTCCAGAGTGACCACTCCGAGGGCCACACCCTCCTGGGGAGGCCGCTCTCGCATGGTGGTCGGGACATCAGGGTCACAGGCTGGGCGTGGTGGCAGGTGCACACACCAGTGCACATAGCAAATGCCAGAGGCTGCTCTAAAGATGACAACTTAACTGGAAGCCCCCCTCTGGGGGACACGCAGTGGACAGTGTCCTCAGAGGGCTCTTTGGGGTTAACAGCCACCGGCACTTTGGAAGGGGTGACTTGCAGCGCTGGCATTTGCTGGGTTGGCCAGGGGCAGTTTTCCTTCTCCACTCAAGGTGTAAATATCTTTTGCTTGTTATTTTATCCCCGATAAAGAGAACATATTAGTGACTCCTCTGTTTGATTTCGCCATAGATTTAAGTTTTAAGGGCCAGAAGTTCCCAACCCTTGCCCCGCCTCCACCTTGAAAAGGAGGCGAAACGGCCACTTTAGCAGGTTTTGTTCATCCCGGGCCAGGGATGGGCACGATGCTGCTCACCGGGATGAGCGCCTGGGTTATTGCATCAGCCGGCTCTGAGGGGGCTGAGAATGACACCCCACCCCTGCACTCAAGCTTCAGGACTCGAACCGAGGCACTTTCCCTCTCTGAGCCTCCATTTCTTTAACTGTGAAAAGGGGCAGCAATACCTGCCCTGAAACATCAAAGAAGACATGGCTTAGAGTAGAGCGGGTGAACTGCAAAGCATTCCACGTATGCACCATGATGTTAGGGACCCCAGGAGCCGCTGTCCCCACAGTAGCACAGGTGACAGGGAGAGGCGATGTCTGCACTACCTGAGCACACGACTCCAGCGTCTTCCTTGTGTCCACATTCGTGGCGGTACCAGCCGCCGTGGGGGCAGCTGGACAGGGAGGACTCCGATCCCGAGCAGTGCACTGTGCCCAAGAGAATGTTCCCGGAGCCCTGACCAAAGTGGGCCCCGCCCAGGACCGACACTGCGTGGCCGCAGCCCAGCTGCCGACAGACGACATCTGCGTCCTGGGCGTCCCAACTGTCGTCACACACGGTGCCCCAGTGGCCTTGGTACAGGAGCTCCACCCGGCCCCGACACCGGTCACCTCCATTCACCAGCCTCAGAGGCAAATCTGCATGGACACAGTGGAGAGCCATTGGGTTCGCTGTCAGCCCCACTGGCTGTCACCACCCAGCCCTTCCTGTCTTCAACTCTCTGCGCACTGCCCCGTCTCCTCCGCAGATTCTCCTCTCTGGGGACCTGACGGCACTGCTCTTCCAAGCTCTGTGTCAACACCCTGAGGAGCTTTCCAGAAAGAGCCCCAAGTCCAGCTCTCCAGTGCTGATGGGTCTGACGACCCAGCCCCAGGCTCTACCAGGGTGTCCAACCTTTTGGGGTCTCTGGGCCACACTGGAAGAAGAAGAATCTTGGGCCACACATTAAGTACACTAATGAAAACTGAGGAGCAAAATCAAGGTTTTCAGTAAATTTACGATTTTGTGTTGGGCTGCATTCATAGCCACCCTGGGCCACGTGCGGCCCATAGGCCGCGGGTTGGACACCCCTGCCCACATTTCAGTGGCCTCCTGGGTACCCCCCCGCAACTCAACACAGTGTCTCTCCTCCACCTGAGTCAACGGCGTCACCGTGCTCCACCTCAACTGTGCTAGACATGTGGCTGTCACATCTGACCCCTCCCTTTCCTCACCTCTTACATCCAACTTATGGCCCAGGCCATTTTTTCTCTTTTCGCCACAACTGTCCTGCTTTAGATCTTCCTTCTCTGGTGCCCAGCCTCCTGCAGGGGCTTCCCGGTGGGCTTCCCCGCCACTCCCCTCCTTTCTCTGAGCCAGGCGCGTTCATGAATTCGACCAGAACTCCTGAGGCGCCCACTCTGTGCGCACCCCATGCTGAGGGGAGTCATCTGACTCACCCAGGCTGCCCAAGTTATGTCCTTGGGAACGCACAGCCATGTTCAGGTCACCGCTCAGGATGCCCCAATGTACTCTCCTTCCGTGTGGATCAAGTCCAAGGTGGCCTTTGCCCAAGAGGGGGCCTCAAGATACCTTTCAAGCCTCCTGTGAGGGGCTTAGAGAGGCCACCATAAAGATGATGTCAAATGGGGGTTCTGTAGGCACCCCCTTCCTGCCTGACACGATCTTGGTAAATCCTTGGCACTGATTGTATGAGGGAAGCAGGCAGCGGGTCCTGAGGGACCCAGCTCAGCATCCTGGCTGCAGGTGCCCCATGTTGGGTGTGGCTTTTCAATGGTTAGTGTTAGGCTACGGGAACTTTGTGGTCAGGGAGTGACCAGAAACGTTGGAATGGGATGGGAACTAGGGGCAGGTGGTTGCTGCGGGTGTTGTTAAAGTGTGGGGTCAGGGAAAGAGTGAGGAAAGGCCAACTAGGAATTCCCAGTGTGCACTCTGGGCCTCCCCACCCTTCGGGCTGCCCCTTTCTAGTCACTCCTGTGAAGGGTGCCTGCAAAAGAGCTGTCAGCCTCCCAGCCTCAGCCCGCCCTTGTTGGGTGTCAATCATCCGGAAGCTGCCCCTCAAGCCCCTCCCAGGCCACTTCCAGACCAGCAGGGTGTGCTCTAGGAGGCCAGGGATTGGCCTTGACAGATCCCCGGACTCAATGGCAGGTCCAGCTGTCCCAAGTGGTCACAGAAAGGACCCTGACATATCAAATTTGGGCCAAAGGGTGCACATTCTCACTGCAGAGAATGCGGAGGGAAGGACACATTTAGTAAGAATCATGGGCAGAAGCAAAGGCATCTGTTCTGGGCTCAAATCTTGGCCCAGCCACTTACACCCTGTGGCCTTACACATATAACCATTGACAAGTTACCTAACTACGCCCTGTTTTACGCACCTGCAAAGTGGAGGTTGCAATACTACTTGCTTACCTCAAAGTGCCGTTGGGATGATTTTGTGATAATAGGACTTACTGTGTGCATTAGTTGGACACTCACTATGTGCTAGGCAGTATTCCAAATGCTTTTCTGTATAGTAACTCACTGGGTGTATGAAGACAATCTTGTACAGAGTACACAGCAAAAGCTTGGGACATATTAGCTGTCTTCAAGACAGCTTCATGAACTGTGGGAGCAGGTACTACACCCACCCCCCACCTCTCCTGACACCAAACTAAAGGTAATCTCCTGCAATGAGTGACCGAGAGGCAGAGCGAAGGAAGGAGAGTGACAGGTGGGCCATGCCTAAGGTCTCAGACACCCCGTGACCCCTCCCTCCCCACCCCTGCATTCTGAAGGGCCGGCAAGCACTCTCTGTGTCCAAGGCGGCATCAGCCTCAACTAGCCACCAGCTGCAACAGCAGAGCTGTCTGACCCAGGCAGTGAGCAGTACCCTGGGAATACAAGTAAAAAAAAAAGAAAAGAAAGAGATCTTACCAGAGCCTGTAGTCTGGGTGGCCCACTCACCTAGAAAGAAACCAATTGCTCCTTAGAAAGGAGCTTCTGCTGCGTACAAATATCTACAGACATTGGTTTGAGCTTCACCTCCAATTCCACCAGGGGGCGCTGAGGTCTCAACCTCGGGTTTGTGCGTCCCCAGCGTTCTCGCTGAAGTGTTTGGGGTGTTCACAATACAGGATCTCACCAGGTGCTGGACATGGGACGTGCAATTATTTTAGATGTAATAAAGTGCATGTCTTTTTTCCAGGCACCCTAATGCTACAGGTGACGGGATGCTGTCTGCTCAGCAAGCAGCGCGGGACAGGAGGAGACAGCATGCACTGGTGGTCAAGGGCTCCGGGGGGCAGCTGCTGCCCCTTCCAGTCTGAAATGCAGTCACATCAGCAGTGGGAACAACCACTCAGAGGCTCCTAAATAGGTAAATGTCCTGATGTCAGGCATCCTGGTCCTTCTTACCATACCCCGAGGAACTCTGTCTGGAAGAACACTAAAATCCAGAGTCCCCGTTCCCAGGCTCCTGGGCACCACATGGGACAGCGTTAAGTCCAGCCACCTCTGGGTCCTGACAACAGCCCCCTCCATTCACCAGTCTCAAGGCCCAATCTAGAGGGAGGCACAGATAGGTCCCCATCTGTCCCTTCCGAGGGACAGGGTCTCAGGCCCTTGAGGTGGAGAGCCCTTCACAGTGACTGAAGGTTCAGAGAAGACCGAACAATGAAACCGGTTCCTCAGCATGTCTTATGTTTCAACGCAACGCGCTGCGTTTCCCTGCGTCTTCAGTGGAGGTTGGCCAACCTCGTGTTTCAGGGGCGCTTTGTGGCAAAGTCACTTGCAGGTCCCACTTCTGCCTCTGGCCTGAGCTCCCAAGCCCAGTTCCGAGCATAAAAAGCTGCTGTGCCCGTGGCCCGCCCCCGCCCCTGCCAAGGGGGGGCGCCCAGCGTCTGCGCTGGGGTGGGACGGCTCCCCACTTGGCAAGCGGAGCAGTGTTGCGGGGGTCAACTGGGGGCTTCAGAGATGCCTGTAGCCCTGCCCCTCACAATTCCACACTGCAGCCTCTCTTCTCGCTCACACACACCCACAGGTGTCGATTTTTAAAGCTTAACCATGGCAGATGATGTTGAGGTTCCCCTACCAGTGGGACCTCATATCACATCCGAGAGCTTTACCTGTACTACCTCAGCTCATCCTCAAAGCAGCCTCGCAGGGCATCTGCAGCTCAGGGAGGCCACCCAAGGCCAACGGACAACTAAGCGGCAGGAGCAGGCGGCTTCTCTTAACCACTTGGCTGTTCTGCCCCCCGGGACATGTTTTTGTAACATTTGGACTATTTGACCCAAATTATGGCCTGTACTTTTGCACAGGCTGACAGGACTGTAATCAGAGAGGAACTAGGGAGACGTTACCACTTGAAGCATTGACTGAGGCAGAGACATTCGGGCTGTGTTCTGGTCAGTGTGGAACATCTAGAGGAAGAGGCTGAAGGCCCAGGTGGACCCCATCAGAGGACGTCCTTCCTGTCCTGCATCTAAGACCCAGCAGGATTCTCTGCAGCTGTCCCCCACCCTGAGTCCTTGTGAGTGGCCTTGGGCCCCACAATCCCCCAGCCCCAGAGTTTAGTTACCAGTTGACACACGTGTCTCCTCAAAAGTGTTTCCTGTGGTGTCTTCTCTTGTTGGTGTTATGGAAACTACAAAGAAAAAAAAAGGCCAAATGAGACTTCCTCTAAAAGCAAGCATTAAATCTGCCCCCCTTGCTAATTAACTGGAGCAAGGGAGGGGGGTGCACTTGGAGGGTGAGTTGGGCCTGTCACATTATTTTCTATTTTACTTTTTTTAATCCTCACCCAAGGACATGTGTATTGATTTGAGAGAGAGAGAGGAAAGGAGAGAGAGAGGCATCGATGTGAGAGATATCGATGGATTGCCTCCCGTACGCACCCTGACTGGGGATCGAACCCACAACCTAAGGCTGGGCCTGTCGCATTATTAATTCACTCGTTGACTAGGGGCTAATCTCTGGTTGCACATGGGGCACCATGCCGAGTGTCGGGGAGGAAGGAGGGATCGGCCACCACCGGGAGTGAGGCTCGGTCCTCTGGAGCTCAGAGGCTCCTGGCCGCGGGGACCTCAATGCGGGGCCCTCAGTGCGGACCCTGCAGGGGAGGAGGCACCTCCAGCTCCGAGCCTGGTGAATCAAAGCGTATTTGTATATTTCCAGCCAAAATGAAACATTTACAATGTGTATCTATCCTATTTTAGACAACATTTTTTGAGCAACCAACCAGCTGTCCCAGTCATGTTAGAAAGAGTTCTTAGAGTGATGGTTCTTGAAGTGGGTTCTGTGAAGCAGTAGCACCAGCCAGGCCCTGGAACTTGTCAAAAATGCAAGTTCCCAGGCCCTCCCCAGACGTAGGGAGTGAGACCTCTGGAAGGAGTGGCCAACCACGTGTGCTTCAGCCGCATCCCAGATGTGGCAGACACGCACTAGTGTTTGAAAACCGCTGTCCTGCAGCAAACGTAAGGATGTGACCGCGGTAAGGAGCGAGTCATCCAGCAACCACTTACTGAGCGCCTACTGGATGCTCGACTGCAGCCAGCAGGGGTAACGTTGGCACTATGTGATGCCTGCTTCCGAAATGCACTCTGGTGGTGAGGGGCACAGGGAAGCAGTCAGAGGTCGGGGGCTAGAGGCTCTGACGGAGGGGGTCCAGGAGTCTAGCAGAGTCATGCCTGATTTCAGGTGCTGTACCCGAAAGTCCAAGCAGGTGTGAGCCCAGTAGACGCAAAGATGTGGGCTAACATGGGCCCCAGAGAAGGAGAGACCCCGTGAAGAAACTGCCCCTTGAAAATAGCCTCATAAGAGGAGACTATAGACTCGAAGGGAGGCCTCTCGGCTGTCTCCTGGCAGGTGAAGAAGTGCCCCCTGCAATCTAATGTCACCCGCATTAAAGGCGTTCCCGCAAGGCTTGAAAATCCCTCCATTAGACTTTCCCCTTCTCTTTAGGGCATGAACGACTGCCAGACCTCAAACCCCTGAAAGCACGTGGCAAGGGGCTAGGCAGGATTAACAATTTGATAGGAATTCCTTGGTGAGCAATGATTACTTTCTCATTTTACAAAAGGGTGCCCTGGAAGAAAAAGGACCAGTGGAAGTTAAAACTGTTTCTGGAACAGCTTGAGAGAGTTAAAGAAAAGCTACCGAGCTACCGCTGAGTTCTCACATTCCCCTACCCCCCTTCCCCCAGGGTAAGCATCTTACCTAGCCGTGGCGCATCGGTCCCGACCCCCAAACCAGCATTGGGGCATGCCGGTTAACTAAACTCCAGGATTCTATTTGGAGTTCACCAGTATTTTCTCTTTCTGTTCTAGGGTCCAATCCAAGATGCCACCTTGTACGTGGGGAGTTGTATGAAGATAAAATATTGGGAAAATGCCAAGAAGACTGACACTGAATGGTTCCTAGGGTCCGTCTGTGCACCCGACACTGCAGGGGTGACCTCCTGTCCGTAAGAGGTGGGAACGCAACCCTGTTTCACAAACGAGCACACTGAGGCCCGCAGAGGCCCCCAGCTGGTGAATGGCAGCGCAAAGGCACGGTGAGGAGCACAGGGCTTCCCCAGCCCTCAGCCCGGCACGCACGCGAGGCACCGACTTCTTCTCCGGGGTCTGTGCAAAGACCAGAGCAGGAGCCTGCTGCTGTGGGTCTCCTCGCACAAGCACCGCGCAGGGACCAGTGCCAAGCTAACAGCCACGGTTCACCTCCAAGGCTCTCTGCAAAGAACAGCGAGGGCTAACAGGACAAAACCGCTGCCCGAATGCCAGCGGACGCCCTCCAGGTTCGAATCCTGGCCCGGCTCCTCACCGGCTGCTGACCTTGGACAAGCCACACAGCCTCTCTGAACCTCAGCTCCCTCTTCTTGGAGGTGGAAATAAAGACACCTAAGTTTGGGGGTGTGAGCAGATTTTAGACAAGAGAATGCGGGTGCGCTGTCTGAGTACCTGGTGCAGAGGGAGCGCGCTACAGAGGCTTCAGTCCACCTCTGACCTGCAAACACAGACACACGTGTGCGAGTCTGGGCACTCGGTGCACAAAACTTCATGGTAAAACCACAGGTTGCCTCCATCCTAGAGCGCTGCCGCCTGATGTCCCTCTGTGGATAAGGACAGGGCAGCCCTCTCCCTGTCCTTTAGGGGCTGACAGGTATCCCATGTCCTTCTCTGGAGTCACTGCAAATCCAGGGATTGATTTTGTACCAATAAATCTAGAGCTAAGAACACTGACTCCCGTGTTCAAATATTTTGATGGAAACTTGACCTCCAGCCCCCGACTGCCCAGAGCCGGGACCCCCTGAGGTCCTCCTGACAAGAAGGGAAGGTGGCGTCCTCTAGCTGGCCCTCTGGTGTCACCCTGTGGGGCACACATCACACCGTGCGGCCTGCTCCCTGCGGCCTGGGCCCCGAGGGCTTGGCCTGGGGCGCTGCTTTCATGAGGGCAATTCCCCACCAGAACCTTCAGAGCGTCCCCTAGAAGCCCGGGCGTGGGAGGGAGAGTTCTAGAAGTTGTCTGGAAATTAGGATAAGTTTGCTGTTTTCTGAAAGTCATGAATGTAGCAAAAGGAAACATCAAGAAGAGCGGGGGAGTAGAAGAGAAGAAGGAAGGAAAAAATGAGTGAAGGAAGAGAGGGAAGGAGAGAGAGAAAGAAGGAGGAAAGAGAAGGAATAAGAGGGAAGAACCAGAGAGAACGAGAGAGACAGAGGAAAGGAAGGAGAGAGAGAAAAAGTTGCCAAGTAGATGAGAAAGAGAGTAACTGAGACAGAGACTGAGAAGCAGAGAGAGAGGTAACGGGCGGGCTGGCCAATCGTCCTGCTCACTTAGTATCTCCACAAATGACACTAAGCTTCAACAGTCCCCTGATTTGCCATGACTCTTTCATGTACATGTTATGCCTTGACACTCTAAGAACACAAACATATGCTGAGTTACCAAGTTCAAGTCACTTTTCCAAAGCACTGAGCGACAGACACACACTCGCAAGCTTGGTGATCTTGTCTGCCCTCTGGATCTACTTTTGCTCAGCAAATAGCAAGTATCAAGCCAGGCCCCCCTGCAGAAAGAAGTCACATAAAGAGCATTTGCAGGGGTGGCTTTTCCTGCCCGTTTCCACAGGACCCAAACTTATGGCAAAGTTTTAGTGCCTCTTAATAGTACACACCCACTTCAGGGATTTTTCTAAGACCAGTCGATCATTGGTGTAACTGAGCGACTCACTGAAAATATTGCCATAGTGACTGGCTCTTTCTAACCACAACCATTGCATTTCTCAGCCAGAAACAAAACAGAAAAGAGCCATTCCTCTTAAATACTTGCAATTACAACTATCAGCAAACAACTGCCCCCTCCTTGATACAAAAATCCCCTCAAAAAACAAAGTCTAGCACCCAGGAAAAGGCAGACAAAATCTGCCATGACTTGGAGTTGCGGGAGCAAAATTAACAAATACAGCCATTAGATATAATACCTGAAGATAGAACTTGACCCAATAGACACATTTCAAGGATGACTCTGGAGATCCCCATTTTGCTGGGTTCTTCTCAGTTTGAATAAAAATACCGCAATATTTATAGATTCCTAACCAAAAGGAGGCGTGTCTCCTATTGCTATCACTGTCATAAATCAATAGAAAGGAAGTAGGGACTTTACTAACTGTCAATAGCTAATCTGTGGGAACAATTTAGGTGTGTTGCATTGATTGCTGTATGAATAATCTGGCTACTCCCCAAGTGCAAAAGCACTGACATTCGTGAGACAATTTCCAACTTCCTTCTAGGTGAACCTTGAAGATTTTCAAATGCTCCCTGAATACAGGCTTCATCTTACTCCTGGGGAATTTGAATTCACGGGTGGGAAATCGGCCCTGAGGCCTGGGGCAAAGCAGGATGTGGGTTGCTGGGTAAATACAGGACCTGGTGCCAAAGGGAAAAGCATCTCTTTGGGCTCAGTTGTCCTGACAGGGCACCCTCTCCTTGGCCCCCGGCCTTGGAAAAAGGAGGGTGGCCTTGGCACAGGCACGGCTGGGAGTGGAAGGCAGTGAGAAGAGCCCGTGGACTCCCTGGGCCTGCACCACCCCGAGCCACGACTTCAGGATGTCTCCCCGCTTCCATAGCTCAGGGGCTGAGACGCATGTGGCCTCAGACTGAACCACCTCCAACCACTTCACAGGGTGTAGTATCTTACTCTCGGTGTTCACATTGCAGGAGGCTTGGAGCTTGGCAGACCCGCAAAGCCAGCCCTGACCTCTTCCTGCCTTGCACACAATCCCTCTCCTCGGTTTTGCTTTGCAGTTATCACTTCGCCGTTTGGGACCCAGTCTTGCTCACCAGACTCTAGTAAAGCCCCCGCCTTCTACCGAGGTTACCTGTCATTTATTTTTATCAAAACGCTCTCGGCGGTTGGTGACTCTTGGTTAGGAGCACATGGCTTGGCAGGACTTGCTTCTGTTGTCCTGGCCTGGATGGCATTGTCGTGAGTCCCTGGGGCTGTCAGGGCCACCGGGGCTTCCTGGCCATGGGCTGGGAATTCAGCCCCTGGGGCCTCACTCTGGAAGGACACCGTGAGCCCGGGCTTCATCTCAGCCCCCAGTCCGGATGCAGGGCTGATCATCTGCATTTGGCTTCATCCAGGTGAAATGCATTCACCCTCATATTTCTTTTCGAATCCCACAGCTTTTCCTCTTGTTCCCAAATTCCCTCTTTCCCCTTGATGAGTGTGGGCATGTTTCTGGGATGAGCTCATTGTTTTTCATTCTCCTACTGTCAGTCCAACTGTTGGTAAGTGTCAGGTGACAAGATACACATGTGCCGGGGAATGCCCCAGACCAGATGGCACGATGGAGTCCTCCTGCAAGGGGCGATGATTGGTTCTGGGAGTGCTGGGCTGACAGCGATTATGAAGCTGGGTCTGGAATCATTGGAAACAGAGAGCTGCGATGGATTAGTAATGTCTGCCTGGAGCACAGTGCAGAGGAGTGCTGTAGGAATGCTAAATACCTGTGTCGTGGAGGAGAGTAAAATGTGTCCTTCCCCCACAGAAGCCACTGCCTGGGCTTAGAGATGCTGCTGCACAGTGACAATTATAACAGGGGCCGTAATATTACTGTGACTTGCAATGGGAACATACAGAGGAAGCCTCCAGGTCCTATGGCAGGAACAGTTGCTCAGAGGTGACTCCTCACACCGAGTCCTGAGACATAAACAGGAGTCATTTGCAACCAAATGTGGGAAGACCAGAGAGAAACAGGAATGGCTCTCCAGGGCTGTGTGAGAACAGAGGCAGGGGACCAGGGAGCTGCCCCATCGAGGGCTCAGCTCAGACCAGGAACATCCCTGGTGAGCTTTCCCCACTGGTGGCCCTTCCCCATTTTTGTCTTTGGAGATTCTCCCCTTCCCCTCTGCGGTTAGCAGTAAAGATCCTAAGATAACAAGGGTGTGTGAGCTTTTGTTCAGAAGACAGAAGAAAGAAGGAAGTGGAGGGAACCTACCTGTCCTGTCAAAGCTGCCTGGGATGTGTCCCAGTAGGAAAACAGGTGATGTTGCTGGAGCAGGGAGGTCTTAGACAGGCAGGAAGAATACAATGGGGCCACAGGCCACTTGAGCCAATCTGTCCCAAAGTCGTTTGTGTGGTTTATAAGACCCTGTTCAGAGAGGTCTTCCTCTGGGGGGAAGAGGGGGGTCCTGGGGGACCCACCCCTCCAGCAGCATCAGCTCCCTCCCAGAAGGCCCACCGTTTCCCTGCCCTCCTTGGCTGGAAGCATCTGTGTCAGCAGCGTGTCTAGTTGGAAGACCAGAGCTACTGAGCTCCACTTACTAACAGAAACTGCCAGTAAGAACAACATCTACCCCAAAATTCTGAAAACATTTATTCACAACGACACATGCACCCCTAGTTCATTGCCGCATTATTCACGGTGGCCAAGACTTGGAAACAACTGAAGTGTCCTGTCTAGATGACTGGGTAAAGAAGATGTGGTACATATGGAATACAATAGAATACTACTCAGCCATAAGAAAAGGTGAAATACTGCCGTTTGCAACAACTGGCATGGATCTTGAGAGAATCACGCTAAGTGCAATAAGTCAGACAGAAGTCAAGAACCATAGGATTTCACCCTCATGTGGGATATACAACTGAAAACAACAAATGAACAAACAAGAAAAACAAACAAAAACTCATAGACACAGACAACGGCATGGCGGTTACCAGGGGGAAGTGGGGTGGGGTTAGTAAAGGGGAAAAGGGGACAAATAGACGGTGACGGAAGCAGATTTGACTTTGGGCGGTGGGCACACAGTGCGATAGACAGATGACGCATCATAGAATTGATTGCTTGACACCTATATACTTTCATTAATCAATGACACCCTAATAAATTTAATTTAAAGAAAACACTACAGGGAGAAGGAGAAGCTCCTGAAAGCCCGAGACTTGTCCCCCAGGCCCCATTTCTAAGGAACCTTCCCAGGCAAGCAGGGTTCCAATGACCACCTGCTCCTGCAAACTCCAGACAGCAGAGCTAAGCACTCAGGCTCGGCCTAGACCATGGCCTTCACTGGGGAGAACCCTGGCAGGGGTCTCATACGGCGTTTATTTTTTCAAAGCAGCAGAACCCTGTCCTCAACTGAAATTCAGGGGAAGCCACTGAATATGACACAGGTCAGTGGCAGCCCTCTGTTCACGGCAGGGCCCCGCCGCCTGCCTGCTCTTCCTCCTCAGGTCCTCACCGCCCTCTCGCTCCCCAGCCCCCACGGCCTCTCCTGTAGGGCAGCCTGTGGGCACAGTTGGGAAGTCTCTGAGGGAGGCCAACCGTCCCTGCCCAGGAGAGGGAACTGGGGGTGCAGGGGGCTCCTGGGTTGCCAGGGGTTCGGCCCGATGCCGAGCTGAGGTCCCAGGCAGACTCCCCAGAGCAGGCAACTACCTTCAGTTTAGTTCACCTGTGCCCCTTCCCCGAGGTTGGCTCTCCCCACAAACAAGCGCCCTGCCTGCTGCCCTGGGAGGCTGGGGGCAACACAGAGCCCTGCCCACTTTTGTAGAGTCTCTGATTTCTGAGCCTGGGAGACCCGTGACCTGGGACAGACGAGGGGCATGGAGCTGAGGGAGCCAGAGAGAGGACTGGGAGCCTCCGGGTTGGAGGGGGGGGTCAGGGAGCTGTGGGGTCTTCAAGCATCCCTGTTTGCTCCTGGGCACTGGGTCCCCCAAAGTCAGTGTAACCATTGCTTCCCTTCAGGTGTCGGGTTGACCCTCAAAATCTAATTTTACCCTCACTGAGTAGCACCCCGGAACTGTTGGTCACTGTTGCTATAGTAAACACCCTTTGGGCACTGTGTATATGGTGCTGACAAAGCTACTCAACAAGGTCACGAAGACCCTGTCCCTGCTGCCATGATTTGAGGCCAAAGCTGAGTCTTGTCCGTGTCCCCCTGCTCCCCAGTGACTGCAGTGCCACCAGCACAGCAGGTGCTCTTGGCAGTTGAAGGTGGGTGTGTGGAGCAAGCCCCAGCCCTGTGACCCAGGGTCACCGACATGCAGCCTTGGACTGAGGACCCTCAGGTCCAGAGAAGGGAAGGGACACACAGAGCTAGCCAGTGTCCAGGCGACATTCCAGCAAATGCCCTCCCATCAGAAGGGCAGAGAGCAGGAGGGCTGAGACACAGCCAGCAGCAGGCGCCAGCAGCAGGCGCCAGCAGCGGACTCCAGCGGCACAGACTCAGCCCCGGCGTGGCCCTGGAGAACCGGAAATCCAATTGCCTCTCATCTTTCCCAGACTCGTGCTGAAGGCCTGCTCTGGCTTACCAGGCCCTACACAGCCGGCCGCCACAGCCTCTCTCCCCCTGAGCTCACTCTAACAACAGTCCAGCCCTAGGGCCTTTGCACTTGCTTTTTTGTTTTTCTGCCCAGAAGAATTCTCCCCCAGAAATCTGCAGGTTCACCCCTCCCCTCCTTTAATTTTTTCCTGATAAGCCCGCTCCTCTGGTCAGCCCCTCCCAACCACGCCTCCCCCGCACTCCCTGGGCCCCTCCTGGCTCACACTCCCCTCAGCACACCCCACGGTCCGTCCGTCCGTCCCGTATCTGGCCTTGCACATCCGACTTCCTCATTCTTTTGCCCGGCTGCTCACACTACTATGCAAGCTCCACTGGGCAGGGGTTTGCATCTGTTTGCTCTCTGTTGTATCCCCAGAACCTAGAACAATGCTTAGCACGGAGGAGGTACTCAAGAAATATTTACTTGCCAGAATGAGTGTGAGCAGATCTGAAAGAAGAGTCAAGTCCTACATTTTTGGGTGCTGACCGCATGCTAAGGGGGCTCCCTGGGCCCCCTCTGCTCCCCACCCTCCAATGCCCTGGAGCTGCTTCCCCTTCACCAGAAACCACCATCCTCCGCAGCGTAGTTACAACTCTTTCCCAGTGAGGCACACAAGGTTAGTGAAGCCCCCACACTGCCTCTCCCAGGGGATCCCTGTAGCTGAGCAGGGAACCCCTGGCAGTGGAGGCCCCATGACAAAGTAGGGGAAGGCTGGATCGGGGGCTGGGG